TTAATAAAAAAGGTTCGTAGGAACAATTTTTTTTAATATTTACTTATATGATTTAAATTTTTTAACCCTATCCGCCCATTTTAGATTTCTTAACCCGCCCACCTGTCCATTTTTGAAAATCCAATGCAGACCTTAGTTAACTGTGCATTCATAGTGAAATTATGTATAAGTAAAACAAAAATTAGGTTAAAACAAAAAAGTTATACATTTAATCAAAAATGTTATACTGAAGTTATTTGAATGATAATACTATACCATAAGAAAAACTGATTAATAACACATTTTCGTAAAATAAATCAAATATCATAATAATGTCTATGAATTCCCAAAGTTCAGATCTTCTAAAACAAAGTATTCATAAAATATTTTCTTTTAGAGCTAATAAAAGTTATTTATAATTTGTTTATATTAAATTTAATAAATAGATGTACATTAAAAAAGATCAAAAATTAAAACATATAATTTAATAATATTCATTTCGCAAGATGGCGTTTATTTTTTTAAACTTAATTTAAATATATAAATTTATGTCATATGGTATTGAATAGTACCAAGTGATTATTTGATTACAATTATTATTATTATATGATCCTGATATAACTAAAAGCAGGGTTGGCAAATCGGTAATTGGCCGGCCAATTGTCAGAGAAAATATTCTCTAAAAATCTGATGAAAAAAAAACTAAGAATATGTTAAACGATCCTATAATACAATACGAATCAGGCATTTTATAAGGTGCTCATAATAAAAATATTTCAAGTGATATGATAAATTTGAGATTATTAAATTTTGAGTTAAATTAACCCCACCTTTGATAAATAGTGTTAAAGAGGAAGTTGAGTAATAACCAAGATTTTATTCAAAATATAAATTGATAGGGAGAGTTAAACAATCATGCCGTTTTTAATTTCTGATTTTGTTAATTTAGTTTTTGATGTTAAATTGATTTTTATATTTAATTTTGAATTGAATTTTAATTTTATTAATCTAATTTGTAAAGGAAACACCTTTCAAATTTTCCAAAATAAATTATATATAAAACGCTAACCAGTAGAAAGATACTAAATGTATTCATTTTAATCTATTTATACTCAATTAATAAAAATTTTATTTATCATACATCAATATTAAAATCCTTGAGATATAAACTTAGAATTATACTTAAAATGACATAAACTTAGAATTATACTTAAAATATACATTTGACAAAAATAAACATAAACTTTTAATAATTTTGATCTTTAGCGAAATAATTTTACTCTTAAGTCAGCAACAAAAACTTTTAGACTTTCTCCATGAATTGTAAATTATTATAGGAATAATGGTAGTTTTATTAAACGGCTCGTTTTGAACAGTAAACTTAAATTAAACCTGGAGATTTTGCTAATATCAATTTAAAACTTTGTTGCATTTTACAACAAAATCTTTATCATAATAAAAATATAAAATACATTACTAATCAAAAAAAGTATCAAAATGATTATAAAAAAAATTATTATAATAATGAATATGAAATTTTTATGAACGAAACTTAGAAAGAAATATATTTAATAAAAAATCTATAATAAGAAAAAGAACATACGTTGAAAAAGATATATAGATATTATCAAATTATTTTAGAACTTTGGATTCTGAGAATTATTCTTATCCCAAGAATTTTTATATCTCAAGATTGATATTTATAAAATAATTTTAATATTTTATCAGGATAGTTTTTTGCATTATAAGTGTTTAACTAAAATACTAAGCCCTATAAATAATATAATAAATTTTCACAAAAATTAAACAATTTGGAAGAAGAATTTAAATATTATAACATGCCGAGAATAAAGATCCTTGGGTCGGGGTTGACAAATTCATCAAAAATATTTATTGGGTCTAAGCAGGCTAGACTTTGCAACATCTAATTCATAGAACATAGATTTCTTAACCCCACTAGCACAAGTTTTACTTATTATGATTAAAATATTATCTAGACACCATTAAATGTTCGTAAAATTTTCCTCAAATTATAAGAGTATCTTTTCTATATAAATTAAATGATATATTAATATTTTTAAATTTAATACTAATTAAAATAATTGTCTTGTAAATTTTTTTTTCTATATTTTGCATCCTATATAAAAAAAAATTAATTATTTTAAAATATATTTTGTGTATAAAATGCACATTACTTAGACTACCCCACTTTTTGCCTCGAAATTAAATTATATGAACAAGACTTTTTTTTTCTTTAAAACTTTATTCAGTAAAATAGGAGTTTATAAGAAAACTTATATTTAACTCCTAAGTTTACCAGTTATTTTTCCAACAGTACTCTACAATTAAATCGTAATAAATAAAAAATTTACATTAATTTTTATTTATCATTAAAAACCCTGCATTTATAGTTATCGCGAATACTCAGTGAATTATAAAAAAATTCTCTGTGTTTTTCTATTCTCGGTCGCGAAAAGAGGTTACCGTGCAATCATAGTTAGCAAGGATTTGAGGTGAAGTATACATATGCTAAATTTTTTTTATATTTATGTATACTTCGCCGCGAATTCGCGATAACTGTAAATCCAAGGTAACAGCATTAAAACTAGTGTTGTTAAAAAGCCCGATTTGGGTCGATTTTAAAACCACTCGATTAAGATAGCCATAATATTATTAAAGCTAGGAGATTTTGCTTATAGATATCAGAAAAGTTTGAACCTCTATTTGCCAAATTTCGAGGCTTATCCAATATTATTTTGGATAAGATTTTAATCGAGCCGTTTAAAAAATCGAGCCAAATCAGGCTTTTTAACAATACTAATTATTTAAAATAAATCAAATCGCATATCTAAAATATGGTGGGACAATAAGAATGCTTAGGAATGGGACTTAATATGAAAAATTATTTTTGAATAAAATAATGAGTCAGCCGTTTTTAAAAATCGGCTCAAATCAAGCCGTTTAACAACACTACTAAAAAGTAGTTGCAATTATTTTTATATGTTAATTAATTCCTATGTTACTATTAAATTATTTTAAAATAAATTGAATTGGGAATTTTTTTATAACAAAATTATATAGTTACCTTTAACGAAAATTCAACATAATTTTCTATAACAATACTTGTTTAACCTCTGAATTGTGAGGTAAGGTGTTTTTCATATTCCAGGTAAAATTTTGAATGCAACACAATATAAACATATTCAATTATCTTTGTAAAATATTTTAAAATTTTGTAAAAATCAAGATTTTTAAAAATATTTATTTAAATATTATATTTTATAACTATATATTTTCTATTCAATCATAATAAAATTTGGAATATTTAATTCACCCTTGTGTTAAAGGGTGGCTTTAATTCATATTTCAACCTAAAGTTTTGAATGCATTCTCACAATATTAACATATTTTAATTTTTTTGTAAAATATTTATAATTTTTGTATTAAGACATAAATAGGATATTAGGATGATTTTTTATTAATTATCTATTTCATTCATAATAAAGTTGAAATATTAAACATAATTAACTATTGTAATAAATTGTAATAGAGAATTTTTTTAAATTTTATATAAAATAATAAAATATCATTCTTATTAAATATTAATAATATATTTATGGCACAAAAATCTATAAATGAAGAAATTAACTTTAGGCTATTACATTTTTAAGGAACCTGTTACTTGTATATGGTTATTTTAACAACGATAGGGTGGAGCTAAAGAGCATTAATTAATTCTAACTTTTAATAAATTCATTTTAAAATTAAGACTAATAACAACATATAACACTTCAATTTAATTATCTTTTATTTAGATATTGGCGGCAAAGAATGAGACAAGTTTGACTTTGTTAGATGATGCAATTTTTTCCAAAGATCAAATATTAACAAAAAAGTAGAGAAATATAGTCTATTCCCATTTCATCTAGAATATGGAGACTAATAGTGATAGATCGTATTCTTTGCCAGAGAGTGATGATGGACTTAGATATATTGCAATAGATTCTTTTTCAAAATTTCGAATTGCAGCCCTTAAAGGATAAATCGGCACAGTCAGTGACTCTTTTTACATAAATTATTATGCAGATATCAAGGCCAAGATCTGTTAATAATTTTTATAAGAGAATTATTTGTTATATGTAGATTCAAATTAAAGATCAGGGACACAAATTTGTGAATGAAATTAGCAAGTTTTATCACAAACTAGTGGGAACACAGAAGTATCTTGTAAATAAGCTTAAAAATTCTTAATGTTAAGGATCTTTAAATTTGGTGCTAAAGACCATGATATTAAAATATTTAGAAAATTAATTCTTCGCCTGAATTATCCAATTTAGAAATATTATTATACTCCAATTCGTCTGAAGATATATTGACTTTTAATATTAAAGCAAAAAAATTAAATATCTGGCCTAATTATCTCAGAAAATATTAAAGTGCCTGAGGGCCAATAAATTTTAATTAATCATAAGAAAAACTATTTCTAATAGATTCTTCCAAAAATTTCATGAAAATATTGCATACCTTATTATGAATTATAGTCTTTTTTTTCAAATATATTAAAATTACTATATATTTTGGCAACAATACCAATAAACACTAGCCCAGATTAAAGAATTTCTTTTTTCATTACTTGAATAGAAACCTATTTCAGAAGTAAGACATAAATGGATTTGATCTATAATACATAGCAACTTATTGAAAATGATGCTCATTTGTAAAGAAGATTAAATCTCGATTTATGTATGCTATTTTGATTATTAACCTTTTCAAATCATCATATGTTATTAAATCCTATATCTTATTATGACTTACCGGTTTATATGTATATAGAATATTTTTTAACAATATTATGCATTACATTTGGTATAACCTCTCTCCTTTTAAAATTCCAGGCTACGCCCTTATCTAAATCCATTAATATATTTTTTTATTGTGTCCAAAGGGCAATCTATCTTGTGGAAATAAAATATAAATATTTATATTCATCAAGCCCCCCCCCCTTTCCAACGATTAGCCAATTATAACTTGTAATAAAAATTTTTATTGAGGAATATAATATAACTATTGTATTAAAATATTTATTGGCATATATGCATATTCTTATAATCAAGCGTTTTTTTAAAGAAATAATTTAATTGGGTTATTATATTTTATAAATATAAATCGAAAAATATAATATAATATCGTTACCAAAAAATTTATTAAAGATCATTATTGGCAATAGGAATATTATCATCATTGATTATCATCAGTTGCCATTACCATCATTATCCGCATTATCATCATTTATAGATTGAGTTTCATTATCAATACTACCTGCTACCGCTGCGCTCCTATTAAAATTAGTAAAATAAATATTAAAATTTATTAAATTACACAAATTTTTAATTGTAAAAGTTATCAATTATTTTTTTATAAAAACAATCAAAATTACCTCAATCCTAGGAAGGGCCAATATGCTATAATAAAATGAAAATTATTGAATAACATATTATAAATTTCTAACTTCTACAATGCCAGCAGTTTGTGCTGCGATTAAAGTATTTTCTATAAGAAGGGCATGAACATATGGAAGGGCAACCTGAAAATATATGTAAAATAATTATAGTATATTCAAAAGTATACTAACATTTGGAAGTTGGACATCCCCGATGATCGGTTTTGCAGCCAAAAACACAAATATAGCGATTGCAAGTATATCTAGGCCAACAAAAGGTTGGAAATGCTAGAGCAGACTTCAAAATAGGGCCTTCTTGTCCTGCTAAGCTAATTTCGCTTAGATTCTGACTTAGAGCTACCTGATTCCACTTAAATAATGTCACTATTATTAATAAGACTGCTATGGAATAGGTTTTCATATTTTTGAATTATAATATAACAATAAATAAATTAAAATACAAATAAAAATCATGCTTTTTATATAGGTATTTTTAATATCCTGTTATGTATTTATTTTATATTATACCTGCCAAATTCTTCAATGATAGGTTTTAATGATATCAATAAATCATAACTTTTATATTTAAAAAATTTTCGATTGATATTTTTCTTCTAATTAAAAAGTGTTGGCATCAATAAAATATATATCTATTTATATATAAATAACGCATAAATTACACTTGCAACAGGTCCAATAAATTTTTTACATCATATTTTAAAGCGTTGTAGGTGTATATGCTAATATCCGTTTTCATATTTTGTTTTACATCTGAATTTAACAGCTAATAATATTGGCCTCGACTGAGATAATAATATTTTTGGCTCTAAAAAAATATTATCTTTCTTTTGAGATCATTTTACACATAACTTTACCGAATCAAGTCAAATAAAAAAAATAAAAGTAATTATTTCATTAATATGATTGTAGAAAAAAATAATTAATTTGGTTATCCCATGATAATAGTTTATCAAATGAAAAGTGACCAAATTAGTAGATGAGGAGAAAATAGATAGTCAATGAAAAAAAGGAGAGGCAAAAAAGAAATAAGTAAAAAAGAAAAGAAAGAAGAGATTGAAAATAAGAATATCATATAAGTTTCTTTCATTCAATATCACGAGAGATATATAAGATAAATAGATTATAATATTTTATCATAACTCATGCTAAGATTACAAAATTAGTAAATGACGCTAGTATGTTATGTAATGATTACAAAATCGCTCCGTTTGAGACGATTTTTTTTTAAAACGGCCATTTCAGTGTTATATTCGTAAAAAAATATTGTGCAACCCGTTCAGGATTTTTCTCAGATATGGCACAAAAATTTAAACATCTATTAGTGACAAAACGCTCGAACCTTAAGTAATATTTTTCTGGCTAAAATATAGAAGTTAGCCGTTCTTAAAAATCGGCTCAAATGGAGTGATTTTGAATTATTATATGTAAGAAGAACTAAAGAATTACAATGATGATAGTTTATAAATGGAAGGTGAAAAAACATGTTTGAAATAAAATCTTGATCAAAAAATAGTGCAGAAAAAAAAAATTAGGAATAGGAAGAAAAAATTTTCAGGGTTTTATTCCGGGATTCTTTATATCAGAGTAGTGGAATCAAGATTATAAAAGTGCAAAAATTCATCAAAAATGCGTTAGGTTCAGCATGGAAGTATTTAAGACTTTAAACCAAAGGATAATTATTATTTATCATATTTAATTTAAATTTATTCTAAGATGCATTTATTACAAATTAATCTTCTTAAATAACACAATGGTTAGCCGTTGAATTGGACTCGATAGCTACATTCGCAACATCCAATAATAACAACCTTTCCCATAGAAACTACAGAATCTAATAAAATACTTTTTTCTATCAAACCATTATTTTATTCCATTTAGCACTACTCTGGGTAATTTAATTGGAATGCCCTGCTTAAATTTTTTTAAAAATACCCGGTAAAAATTTCCCACAATACTGGGATAGCTGTGAAAAGTTTCTACATACTACATAATATCGAATTAGAAGTTTGCCGATCAGATGCTATCTCAATCCATGGGTTGCCCATTAGATATTATTTTTTTAATAATATATTATCTATGTATTAATTTAAAATATATTTTTTTACAATATATGAATTATAATTTTTTAAAATGTTTAAACTTTTTTAAATTGAATAAAAATTTTTAATTTTTGAAAAAATAATAACTTTTTTCCCAATCATAAATTAATATTTTAAATTTGTTCCATTTTTTTTACTTTCTAAAACTTTTATTATGATACAGAACCAGAGAATCATAATATTCATATATTTTTATATTATAGATACAAGGAAAATGATCTTAAAAAATTTGGGAGAGATTCCTGAGACACTCACATTTTTTTCGTTTGCTGCATTCTTAGAACGTTTAGAATACGAAAATGTAACTGGAACTTAACTTTTGTTCTTAAAAGAACTAGAAAAGAATGGATGCCAATAAGCAACGAAACATTTTTAATCTCATCAGAAAGAATTTTTATTTTTTGGTGAAAAATTAAATTTTTATTATATTTTTAAATGTAAATTTACAAATGCTGAGAAATAATTCTTTAGCAATTTTTTTTTGGTACGGTTTGGAAGTAGCGTTTAAACCTTTACAGATGAATTTTAGGATTGAGAAACTCAAAACTACGTTTCAAAAATAGTATCAGCCGCTAACGCTATCAAACAAAACATATACTTGATATTGGTATTAGAGATCTGCAAAGTTAGGCCCGACCGGGTCGGACTCGGGCCTAATTCTATTTAAAATAATCGGGTCCGGGCCAGGCCGAGCCTAATATTTTTAAAAAATTTCGGGCCGGTCGGGTCGGATTTTGGAAATTTTATTAAATATATCTAAATTTATCAATTTTATATTGAATTTTTTATGCAAAATAAAAATTTTGATTTAATTTATTGTAACTAAACGCTATATAACATATGTCTTTTATTTTAAGTAATTATAAAAATTAATTTCTATATTTAAATAAATTCGTGACTGGCCGGGCCGGTAAATTTTTTTAAAATAAATTTTGGGTTCGGGCTGGGCCGGCAAAACTTTTTTAAAAAAAATTTCGGGCCGAGCTTGAAAAATTAGGCCCAATGCAGATCACTAATTGGTATACAATATACTCAATGTATTATTATAAGACTGAGGATTCCTTCATTTAGATGTGCTTGAATACAAAAAATCTGCATTATAAAAAAGAATTATAAAAGAAACCAAACTAAGGTGTAACAGCTGATTTGCGTTAAAGGACCCTTCAAAATGTATTTTAATGAATGAATCTCCAGCAATTATTTAGAAAAATATTTTATATGTATAAGTTTATTTATGCAAAAAAATATGATTTAAGTCTGTTAAATTTAGAAATAATTAAATTCAGTTTGGGTTTAGAATGAATTCATTATTATTTTTTAAATAAGAATATAATTAGAAAATAAATGATGCATTTGGAAGCAGAAAAATTATTTTGAACCAGACCAGAAATGTCCCCAAATAGATATCAGAAATACTCGAGGATGTGCTTCAATTTTAAGGTTCCCATACGAAATCGCCAAGATCAAAATAGCCAAATATTTTTGTACGTAATTTAAAACACCACAAGTAATATAATATTTCCTATATAATACAATATATTATAATACTAATATAATGTAATAAGAGAAAATATAATACTAATATAATGTAATAAGAGAAAATATAATACAAATATAATATGATACTAATACAATAATATAATAATATACTAATATAATTTAATATAATATTATAAAATAATAAAATACTAATATATAATATAGTGTAATATAATATAAAATATATAATAATAATAATAATGTAATATTAATGTAATATTAATGTAATATTATAATATAATAAAATCTTAATATAAGTGTAATATAATATAAAATATATATAATATAAAATATGTATAATGTAAAATATATAAAATATACATAATATAAAATATACATAATATAAAATATACATAATATAAAATATACATAATATAAAATATACATAATATAAAATATACATAATAATTAATATAATTTTTTTTTTATATGGTCAAATTATTTTATTTATTTTAAAATAGGATATATACACTAAATAATTAAAAATATATACATTAAAAAACAAATAAGCATATATTAAAAATGAATTTTAAAAATATATATGTATAAAAAAGAACTGAGAAAAAAAAATATTCAAAAAAAAGTTGCAAATCACTCTAGGGAAGAGTTATGGCTTAAAAAATTGAACCTGCAGATTTCCAGGAAAATCTGCTGACGAAGGTAAAATTCTTCATTTGGCTCCTCTGAGATCTGTCTCTCATTTTTTCCTGTTATTTTAATAAAATTGAGGGCATCATTTCCAAACATGCCTAGGGTATTGGTAACGATTGGTATGAACATGGTGTTGGTGAGGCCAGCATATTTGTTTTTTTTAGAATTTCATCCTTTTCAATGGCAGAAAATGAGAGGTTGGACTTTTCTGCAAAATCGACACAGGTATAGTCCCAAGCGAGAGGGAGGAGGCCATTATTTAGGGAATGAAAGACATCCCATCGGGACGTATGGCGTTTTCGTTTGAGAAGCCTACTGGTTCGAGGGTGTATGGAATATTAACTTTTTAGAGGGTAGCTAGATAATGTAATATAAAATATAAATAAAATGTAATATAAAATAAATAATAATAATAAAATTATAATTTTGTTTGATCAGGCGTCTTCGATAATATATGAAATGTAAGTGGCTGGTGGTCATAATGATTAATAAGTATATGTTACTCACTTATCTTACTAGAAACTTTATGAATAATTTTTTTATCGTAATTAATTTTACTTATTACTCCTATAAATATCTGATATCCTAATATTTTATTTTTTTAAATTTTTATAATGATTAATAAGTGTATGTTACTCACTTATCTTACTAGAAACTTCATGAATAATTTTTTTATCGTAATTAATTTTACTTTACTCCAATAAATTTCTGATATCCTAATATTTTTTCTAAGGTTTATTATGATTAATAACTATATGTTACTCAATTGTCTTATTAGAAACTTCATGAATAAATTTTTTATCGTAATTAATTCTTATTACTCGTATAAATATCTGATATATTCTAATAACATTTTATTATAAAATTTAGAAAAATATAAAAAATAGTAGCATTTATTATATTATCGGAATAAATAAATATAATATAAAAAAACAAAAGTAATAATGTACAATACAATATATACGAATAATTTAATCAGAATTGAATATGTATTAGATGATTGAAAATTGACTAAAAATGAGATTTTATCTAAAAAAGGAAACAAATTTAAGGTTGCTCTATCATACATAGACGTTAAATTGTCTATTTTATGATTTAATTTTCATAAGTCCGATTTGCTCGCCGCATCCATTATGAATTTGCATCAGCTTAATATCATTCGAATTTTGATTTTTGATCAATATTGATTAGGATGTACACATTAGGATGTGTACTGCTTGTTTTCTTTTTAGCGCATGATGGAACCCCTCGAGATGGTTGTTTGTGCAGGGCCCATCTAAATGATACCTAAAATAAATGCTGAAAAATATTAGTGATTGAATATAATTATTTCAAGTTTTTATACTTTGTCCATAAAGTATGAGGGAATAAGGCAGTTTCACCAAGCCGCGTATGGTCCATATACTCCATATAAAGAAGTAAGGATAAATTGTTAGTTGCCATTGAGTAGCAATATATCAGCCATATGCTCCTTCTTGCAAAATGGTAAAGTTGTCATCCGCCCTAACAACTAAATTGATATAGAAATCGTTTAGATAGTCTCTGAATACCTAAAGCTTGACATTTTCGCCATAAATCTTGAGAATAATAAAAGAAACATCCAAAATATTTTAAATTAAAATTTACATAAATTATAAATTAACCTATGGCTATATTTGTAAATACAAATCGAAGTGCAGACAGGGTTGGGCAAATTTTCAGAAAATTGTATTCGGATATAGATACAGATACTTTATAAAATTTTGTATAGATACTTTGGGAAAATTTCAATAAGATATAAGATACAAGATACTTGTATCTTTTAAAAAAAGTATCTAAGATACAAGATACTTGTATCTTTTTAAAAAAAGTATCTAAGATACAAGATACTTTAAAAAAAACTTTAACTACTCAAAATCAAAATGTATAAAGCTTTATTTTCTTATCTATAATATAAATTTACAAAAAATTTGAAAATAAATTGTAAAAAATAACAAATTTATTATATAAGATAATGCGATATTTATTTTAATAATTATATAATTAGTATATTAATATATCAGCATCATAAATCAGCATTGTTTTTTTATATTATTAATTTTTCAAATAATTTATCGTTCAATGTTTGACGATTTCGTTTGTTAACCATATTAGCAAAGCTAAATAATTGTTCAACGGGGGTAGAGGAGGGTAATATTGCGTTATTTAATAAATATTTCTTTTAATTAATTTTATAAATTATATTTTAAGCATATATGTAAAAATTAAAAAAAATACATATGAAAGTTGGATTAAATATTGCTAAGTACTATCTATCATATAAAAATGGTGCCACAAAAATTTGGAATATATTTTGGCCTAGTATTCAAATTAACAACCTCTTTTTTATCAATATTAGTTTTCTTATTCTTTTCATATATTTTTTATATATCATTTTAATTTCATTATCAATCAATAATATAAAAATTTATTTAAAAATACTTCTAAATTTAGCAACAGATATATGGAATATGAAATGATAATGAATATGATTATAAATGTGATTTATTATATAATTATATATTATACTTTTAGATGCTTGACAAAATTTGATGACGAGTCCACAGAACCACTTATAAATTTGTGGCATTCTTTAGATTCTGTAGTAATTTTATTATGATCATGTTGAAGTATTTGAAAAAATTTCCCATTTAAAATACTTAATTTAAATTTATAGTTATATTTTTTGGTTGGAGAATCATCTGAAGACGAAGATAAACATATTATTCTATTTTCTTTAATAGACGGATATAAAACGATTCAAATAAAATATGGTAGTTCTAATTGTTAGCAAATTGCTATATGACGACCAACGTCGTATAACATACATTACCTTAAAATATCTAACTTCTGATTAAATTTTTCATTTAAATTTTAATACTATTTAAATTAACTAATATAATTTTTTTTAAAGTATCTGTATCTTTTTGAATACAAAGTTGGTTAAGATATAAATAGTTTTAAATAATATGTATCTTAGATACTGGATACAAGATACTTTCCAAAATTTAATAAAAGATACAAATATCCGCGATACTGCCCAACCCTGAGTGCAGATATAGCTACCGCCTCAAAATCTGTTTGTCTGATTATTGAGATTGAAATTTATACCTTTTAGGGTACTAAAATTTATGACAATATAAAATAGTTGAATATATGTCTCCCTTGAGAGCATATATAACCGGGATCATAATAGTTCCAAACATGATGTGTATGGTATAAAGCTGACATTATAATCTAGGAACAATATAGAAAGTTCCGTCCATATTTTTGTCGGCAGATGCCAAAATATATAGGTAGTCCCAAAGACCAATAGCCTATTATAAGTAATAACAACACATAATATTTTATGTAATCAGGGATGAACCAAAATTTACAATTTAAGTAATGGTAGAACGTTAGTCATTTTTCTAAGTAACGACAAATGTAACAGTTAATCTTTGGAATAATATGCCTAACCAACATTGCCATATGGAATTCAGAAATATGTGATAAATAATATTCAATTTAAGTTCGATCATTCAAATTTTAATGGCTAAATTTCGATTTATCTTAAAAATTTATAATTAAATTTGCAGATTTATAATAAAATTGAATAATTTTTTTAATTATTCTAATAATTTGTTTATTCTAGTTTCAACTGACAAATAAAGTATTAGAGTTTACGGATATTCATATAATACTCATTAATACAAAAAGAAAATATCGCAATGAAAGAGCTTAACTCATCTAAACAAACTCAGATTCAGGTTTCATACATTATTTGAAGCTGAAATAGCGCTGTAAAACATTGTTTACTTGAGTTATAAAAAGTAAAAGAGAATAAGATTATCTAAAGGTTACGTTTAATCACAGGTAATCCAGAAGGCGTCTACCTTTGACAAAGAATATCAATTAAAATCTGTCTTTCCAACTGCATATCCATACATGGGTCATTAAGCCCCACTGACCATAGCTAAATATAAATTTTTTTTTATAATTTTTTTTTAAATTTCCCTTCTTTTAATTATATATCATCTTGATTATAGATATAGTATGTTAATATGAAATTATTATATTTTATTTAATAAAGGCTCTCTTATCAAATTTAAAAAAATGATAAAACACTAAAATAAAAACAAGTATATAAAAATATCTAAAATTACTAAATAAAAATAAATATAAGTATCATAATAATAAAATTTCTGCGAAATCTATCATATTTTAATTTCATTTATTTATCATATTTATTTTTAAATTTAAGCTATCTTTTCTCTCAAAATGATGAAATAAAATGTTTTTATATCTAGGAACTATGAGTTTAATTAATATTTGCAAATTACTAAGGGATCCTAATTCCTGATCTAGCATATGCTGTTAAAATTCTCTTTGAACTGCATGGGTCCACTTACTTTTTATTATTAATTGGAAGTCTAGATAATTTTGAAAAAATGATGATCATTTCGATTCAAAGTCACATCCCATTATATATAATAATAATTAGAAATAATAATAATAGAAAAAAAGAAGTCGGAAATATTAACATTAGATGTGTAAATTAAAAAATATTAATTAAAATTATATATTTACTCATGATGATATCATAAAAACCAGATCTTTTATTAATGCTTTAATTCATTCATATTAATAATTAAAGAAAATTCATATAATATATATGTTAACGACAATTTTTTTCCCCTGCATTATGTTATTTTTTGAACTTTATATCATTTTATGAGCGCGTTTTTTTGAATTTAAATATCTAATTTTACCGTAAATGTATTACATAATGTTTGGAATCTTTATGAATTCCAGATAATTTTACCATGAAATTTTTCTATCTCCTTTTATAATAAATTGTTAAATTATAATTGTTATATATAAAAATATTTAAGTTTTATACCTTAAGCTATTTTAGTTTTGTTTATATTTTATCTTTAAAAATCATTTTACCTAACTTGATGATTGATTATTATCTATTAACAAATAGATATATATATAGATAACATTTTTAATAGGACATTCATTTTTAGATTTTTTTTTATATATAATCATTTTTTGACGCTTCGATTATGTGAATTGTTATAATGTATTATCAAAGATGTACATTCATCCACTTCTTATATACTGTTGTCTAAGTTATGAATAAACATACAGAAAACCACCACGACTATCAAACTACTAACATTGTTTCCATTATATCAATTAAAATAAAATGATTATAATACATAAATATATCGCGATTTCTACTTATGACCTTTTATAAATATATCGCCATTTCTATGACCTTTTATAAAATATATCGCCACTTTTACAAACCTATTTCATTTTATTTATTTTAATTAACTCTATTTATATTAAAAATAGAATAACAAAGATCATTCAAGTAAACGGTGATATAATCTAAAATTTAGTAATCGCGTATGTATTAATTTGCTATTCTATGTGATGGTTGGTTTTTAAAATTCAATTTTTATCATGTTAATTCATTTTTCTTATTGCTAATTGATTTTATAAATCTAACTGAATTCTTTTCAAATTTATTAATTTTTACAGAAATACCTATCTGCAATGGAGCTGGCTATTTATTTATAATATTAAAAAATTAAATTTACACATACAAATTACAAAATCATTTACGTTTAACTCCTTAAACAAAATTTTCTTAATATTACTGGAAATTATATAAAAATATAATATCTAATTTAATAAATTATGCGTTAAATAAATATAAGGTAAATTAGCATAATTTTTTTTAAATAGAAATTTAGAAAATTCAAAATATTATAATGTAAAATAATAACCATATCTAATTTTAATAAAAATGAGAAGTTTAAAATCATTCCTCACTCACTCCTAACCGTTCTAAATCAGTCATGGCAATTGGTTTGCATCAATGTTTAACAAATTCATTGTGCTGGTGGATACTAATCTGTTTGGCAGGGGATTGATATTATTTATAACGGGTCTAAAGTTAAATTCATCCATTTCTGCCAAAAATATATAAATTATTAATATAATTTAGGCCTATTCAAAAACGAATTCGAATCGAACAGTGCATTATTCATATTCAATTCGTTTAAACGAATCGAATAATTTACTATTTGAATTCGTACGAATAATAAAATCTACTATTTGTATCGATTCGAATTAATTTTTTTAATAAAATAAATAAAAGAAATATTATGATTTATAAATAATTTTAATAAATTATCCTTAAAATTAATTTTTTTTTGAAGAATTTGGTGTAGACTTTAAAAAAATGTCAATTTTATTATTTTTTTTACTAAGGTGTGAATAAAACCTATTATAATGATTAATAAGAGGAGATGTTGTTTTGCCTTTAGATATTATAATACACTTGCAATGATTGCAAGCAGCCTTTTCACTATCTTTAAGGATTTGATATTGATCCCTTATGATTTCTCTCTTTTGTGAGGAAATTTTCTCATCTTCAACATCAAGCATAATTTCATCAGAAGCAATCTCCTCTAACATAATTAGGCTAGCTAACAATTATCGTAGAAATGTAATATATTTTTATGTACCTCTGGTTTGTGTAATTTTTAATATAATTTATTATGAGATTCAAAAAATAAACTTTTCGTTAGATTCAAAAAAGTGGCAAATAAAAATTTAAATTTTCACAGAAATTTTTAAATTTGTGCTAGAATTTTTATAAACACAAACACATCACCTGTCCGATTGGCAGGTCAACAAATAGAAATGACAAATGTTAGATTTATTAAACAATTTATTAAATATTACTAATAATTCGTTTTATTCGAATCGAATTAATGATTATTCGTATTCAGATAAAACAAATAATTTATTATTCGTATTCGTAATTATTCGATTAGATTCGAATTATTCGAATCGAATATTTGAATTATTTTTGAATAGGCCTAATATAATTTTATAAGTAAAAAATAATTTTCTATGATCGTCACTTAACCGATAATAGGTCAGTTCACAAAAATTATAATTAACCTACATAAACTAAAAAAAAAAAGAAAAGCTAGCTTACATTTAAGCTATGAATTTTATAAACAAAAAATATTCATATACAAGTTTTAACCAGATAATATTTAGTAAAAAAAGCATGTGTTGTTAATTTTTATTCCCAATATTTCCTATTACTTTTAGTAAGGTTAATTTAATTTATCTTTTACAAATTTCATATTGGGAATGATTTATATCTATAAATTTTTACAACTTTCGAACCTGGGTGATATGAAGGTGTCCTATTTTCTCGTATCAAGTTATTCCTTATAATATCTATTATGTCAAAAGATAATAATAATGCCGTATACCATTTTTTTAAAAAACCTCTGGTCATTAGTGGAAAATCGACTATATTTTTATCTTTATTATTGTTTATCATTGGCATCGGGGTTTTAGATAAAGCGTTTCTCCTCAGCTGATCGTACATCATCTGTAATTTAAAAAAAAGCTTATTATGCATCTTAAAAGGCATAAATTTAAAATAATCTTTATACACCTAAAATATTGTAAATAAAATCGTACAGATGTAGTGTCGTTTAGCAGATCTGGGCTTTTTGTAGATTTTTAAAATTTTTAACTTTAACCCTTTCGGACCCGGAATATTTCCCATGAACAAAAAATACTTGTACTTTGATATAATAAAATAATGATTTTGACATTTTGATATAATAAAATTATGATTTTGACAGGTTAATGATAAAATACGAAATAATAAATATTGTTTTATAAATTATTATCTCTAAGTACCAACCATTAGTTTTTTTAAATATAAAAATTAATTGATTAAAAATTTTGATGACAAATGATCTCGCTGGGCGCGAAAGGGTAAGACATGTTTTTGCTAGAGTCGTATTTCAACATGTAAAGGGTACATACCATGTAAAATTTTTAATTTAAACTATTTTCCAGTTAAAATTTGATACTCTAATCTTGACTTTCAAAATATAAAAAAAGGCACGATATAAATTTTTAAGTTTAAAAATCTAGGTGTGCTCTAACATCTACGATAGATATCAATAGTTGCTTTCAAATATATGACTCTTAACAAAATATATTTAGTGTTGTAAACGAACGCGTTCAAAATGAACGCATTCGTGAACGAAGTTTGTTTTTTTGAAAAAAATGATGAACGGCGTTCCTTTTATTTTCGTCGAACTTTAAACGTAAACGCGTTCCTTTTTTATGATGAACGCGTTCGAATTTAACGTTCGTTCAATTTTAAAAATATTTTTATTTTTATTTATTTGAAAAATTTAATATTTCCGAAATTGCAGCATATGTTAATAGAGAAAAATTACGGCAAGATTTAAAAAAAATGTATTATTTATATTTTTTAATCGGCTGTGTATTTCCTTTTCACATTTCAATTTTTTTAACACATAGTTTATTAATTTAAATATTATTGTTTATATTTTAATTTAATAGATTAGCATAAGCATAGATATTATTATTTAATCCTCATCATCTGATTCTGAAAATCCAAAATGAAATGAATTATAATTACTATGGCCAAATATGATAAATGTTTTACATTAACATCCTATATTGAAGGAACTAATCCAATGGTTACCAAGTGTAAAATGTGGCCAAAAAGTATTATATTGTCAAAATCTTCAGGTTCCAATTTAGACATTTGATTTTAATATTAATTATTTGATTTTATATAATATAACTAAATTAATAAATTTGAACAAATAATGCATTTGGGATATTTGACGCCAACAATAACGATAGTAATTTCAAAAAAAAAATTAGTGGCCTCAAATATGGTCAACCATTGATAGACGCCATATTAAATGGGATTAATAAAAGGTATTAAACCTATCACTCTCAAATAATTACATATATTTTATTTTTTTAAAGATTTGAACATATATATAAGGATCAATATGTTCTTTCTGCGACTATACATCCAGCATTCAAACTTCAATGGCCATGGATTAAACTTCCACAGAATGAACCTATTAAAAATAAACTTAGAGTGTTATTGAAAAAAATGCTTTTGATAATCAACCATCTTCTATAAAAAAATTTAATAACAATTACCTAAGAGGGACTTAAGTATAATAGGTATTATTAAGTTAATAATTATAAAATAAAAATGTATAATATAGGTTAATGATGCTTACTACCAAGTGAATGTATGGAAATATTCTAATCAACCTAATTTGTTAAATACCGACCAAAATTTATTAAAATGTAATAAGATCCCTTTTTTTTGTCGAGAGTAGAGAATAAATTGGAGGAGGATAACTTATCTCGATTTTTTTCAAATAACAAAACAATTTGTTTTTAATTAATTCTCCACTTTAAAAAAGCTGTTTATTAAGTACAATACCGCTATCCCCTCATCTGCCCCTGTAGAGCAAGTTTTTAGGCTAATGCCGTATTAACTGCCAAGTGTTCCTGTCTATCAGATAAATATTTTGAATTAATAAGAAAAAATTTTTATAAATAAAAATATCTTTTTGCTATATTTTTTTTTTTTTTTTTTGACGGGTAAATTCTCTCTTTATTTCAATAGTTGTTGATATAATATGTTAATTTATAATTATATTATCAAAATAAAACTATATTATTTTTTAACATGGCTAAAATATATTGTATTAAAAAATATAAGTTTATTTATATTAAATTAAATTAAAAAAATTATCATAAAATTTTGAGCGGTTTTATGAACTTTTTTAAACATGAACTTGAACATGAACTTGAACGAGTTCGATTTTTGTCAATGAACGTTGAACGCGTTTGATTTTTTTAGAAATGTTTACAGCACTAAATATATTAGAATAACTGCACTATCAAAAAAGAATAAAAATTAGAATAAATTTTTCAAATTTTTCATATTTTAATTTCACATGTCTATTATACCCTTTTGGTAAGAGAAGTAAAGTAATTTTTTAGGTAAACTTGGGGTTAAAATTTATTTAAAAAAAATGAAATAAAACATAAATCTAATTTTTATGATTGATTACTAACTTGCAATTTTTGATATTGCCTAGATTTTTCTGAAAACTTCTCAAAAATCTCGTTATATTTACTGGTCATATCCGTGTATCTTTGTTTAGAATTATCATTTTCTTTCTTCATATCTATTGACATATAATAGCCATAAATTAAATATTCATAAAATACGCCCAGATTTACTTGTAATGTTCATTTTCAAAGCTTTGTTAAATATTTTATAATATAAAAAAAAATGATTATAATTTAAAATGAATTGCATTTGTTTTTAAAATACTCCCTTATTTTCTTTTCTTCTTACAATCACAGAGATCTTAGTCAACCGAATTGATAAACCGGAAAAATGTAAGTCACTGAATAGAACTTTTATACTGAATTCTTTAAAGGAATTAACCGAATTTTCATAATTTTTGCTGGACCGGTTTAAATCCCTACTTTTAAAACCCATTTAAAATTTTTTAATTGCGACACTTTATTTCTTCTTGGGGAGTTACTAAAAGAGCTCATTACTTCATTCTTTTATTAAGCCAATCAATTTACATATCGCTGGCTGTCTGAAAGACCCTTCGTATCTGAAATTCTTTCAAGAAAAAAACATATCAAGATCTATCCTAACCGTTTCATATTCAATTCGGATAAGAGGGCTTGCAGTGCAACCAACGATATTTCCCAAACCACAATCGAACCATAAAATCTTATCATTTATGGTCTCTGAATCGTAAGGGGTTCGTGATTAGGACACATCAAACTTGGTTCTCTAATAAATATGAAATAAAAAAATTAGACTAACAACTCATTTCGGCTGTTATTTTATTTAAAAGCTCTTCGTAGTATTCTTCCAATTTCGCTATTTTTTCTTTCGATTTATTTACCATATGTTCTTGTAGTGCTACTTCTTGAGATGACTATAACGATTTTGTATGCTAATAATTTTTATCTTTTTAAAAAATACTTGGTAACACCAAAAGGACATGGCTTGACTAGCAATTTCTAATATTATTTCTGGTTTAAGTCCTGCTAATACCATCTTTTGTTAGAAGAAGTAATATATAAAATTTTAAATGATAGGAAGGAAGGAAGGAAGGAAGGAAGGAAGGAAGGAAGGAAGGAAGGAAGGAAGGAAGAATATATAATAATATTTACTCCTTTGTATTGCTCAGAGGGCGATAAATCTGAATGAATAACATCAAATTTTCCAGATAAGTTGGTATTACCTTAGATAGAATTAATATATCATTATTATAAAAGTATTCACAAGCCGGGCATATAGAAGGATTTTTTCCAAATTCTCTCATGCCATCGTCGTCGCAAAATATATCTGATTTTTATTTATTTTATAATGGAGTCAAAATTTTATGGTATACAAAAATCATGAATATGGGAAATAACAAGAATGTAAAAAGTATTAAAATAGAACACCCTTTGATCCCATTCTTTTTTAAAAAATCCGGAAGGTTTTGAAGGTAGAAGGGGAATGTTATAAACAGATTTGCCATATTTTTCTATTTGACTTTATCCCTAGAAAGTTTTTTAAAATATCTTACTGTTACTTTGATTATATTTCTTATGAATTCTGATTCTCATTCTGACTAATGAATTTAAATAATCTTATTTTAGCTGATATCCACCCGGCATTCACAGTTAGAGCGAATTAGCGAGAAAGAATAAAAAAATACATCATATTTTGTTTATTTCGCCGCGAATTCGCGCTAACTGTTAATGAGGGGTAAGGATGAATCCTTGGCTAAAATGATATTACTCAGGCTTCGAGATTTTGTTACACTAATTCATAGGGCTTCGACAGATTTCTTTTTTTATAGCGATTCGTTATGAAAGGTAAGGTTAGATGGTTTCTACAAAAAAGAGTTCGGGGTCAAAATGACAATCATATATCTTAAAAATCTAAATTGCTAATAATAATGCAGGTCCTCAGACAACATATTGTCAATTTACTAAAAGATTTGATTGAAATCATTTTTTAAAATATATATTAACTTTACCCCACACCTTAGGAGGACTATAGTTGGGTAATGACTAAAAAATCGGCAAATACGTTTACAAACACTCAAGGAATTAAATCCGCGAAGTATTAAGGCTCGAGTTATATAATTTTTTCTACTTTTTTCAAAGGTTTAGTTATATTTTCAAAAAAGCCCGAAGTGATTGTTTTTGGCTAAAAACTAGGTTTAGTCTAAGTAAAGCAATTACCCATTATATTGACGACCCTTTTACTCGCAATAACACTCTTCAAAGATTGGTTTAAGAAAAACTGGTCCTGCAGAGAATCGAACCGCCACCTCTGCGATTGCACATGGTCTATGTCTTTAACCTACAAGTCCAAAACCGAATTTTAAAAAATTGTCTTATCGGGTCTCACAATTAAAAATACAAATTGAAGTTGGTTCGGTTCGAATACCTAGAGTTAATTCAACTTTTGTTCAAAAATCGATATGAGACCTTCTCTACCTATTTATATTATCAAAAAAAAATGTTTTGCATAAAATAATTTTTTTTAGGGAATTAGATCCAAATCTGTTTTTAAAATCTCTTCCATCGGTCACCTGTCCAAAAGGATGGAAATGATTATTAAAATGAGAGTAATCAAGTGAATGTAGGTATGTTAGAGTTTTAATGTTTAAATTTTCAGATTTTATCAACCGAATGTGTTGAGATTCAATTTTTAATGGTATATAAGTTAATGAAATTATCACTAATGAATGGGGTATCAATCAAAGGAGAATAATGATGCTGATCCAGTCAGCTTATAGTAAATTCATTATGAGTCTTAGTTGTAGATAAAAATTTTGGTTTGGATTATAGGGCTTAGAAACATCGATGCCCTAGATCCTTGAAGAAGACTAGGGTATGAGTGCCAAAAGATTATGGTAAACGTCATGATGGCTTATCAAAGGTCTCGCGGAAGATTAGTGGTTTTCTAACCGTAGACTTTTCTTTTATGGATCCACTCGCCCCCCCCCCCATAACCTAAACCATGAAGCTATACCCCACGCAAGTCGGAGTAAAGCTGCCAAATATTCATATTCATAACAAATAGAACATAGAACAAAACCAAATTATTTTGGCATTCAAGCTAGAGGTCTGCAAAGATTTTTTCCCGATTCGAGAGCGAATTTAAAAAAAAAATTTTGTCCGAACCCTATCCAAGCACACACATATTTAGACCCAACCCAAAGCCCGACTAAAAATTTTTTTATAATTTGAGTGTAAATATTATATTATTTAAGAAACAATTAAAAATTAAGTGTATTTGTTCACATATTGCCGCCTTAAATAATTTTCTATTTTACCCCCATAATCTAATCAATATTCATATAATTATTTAAATTGTGTAATAAAATTTTTATTCAGTTTAAATATACAATCTAATTTAAAAATTTTTTCGATTATATAAAAATAATTTGCATGATTGATGTCGATATAAGATGATAAAATTGCTTATTTAGAGAAAAAATTTCTACAAATATAATCATATTATAAAGACATATCAATATCAGTTATTCTGATTAACATTTTTGTGAAACAAAAGATTTTTGTATTTTTCGGCTCGGAAACATCTTAGAGCCCGGCCTGAGCCCAAAGATAAAAAATTTTAACCGAACCCCACCCGAGGCTCGGGCTTCGGATAGACCACGCAATTGCAAACCACAAATAAAGCTCTAGTCTTTTTTAAGAATGTAAGGCAACGCATTATTTAACTTTAAGGCAGAAAATCTTATATCACTTTCATATCCTTGGTTAATCGATAGCATTTATTAATCAATCGATTTCATTGACTAATATATCAATCTTTTCTTTTTTTTGTTTCTTATTATTTATCTCTTAATAAATGACCTGATGAATTAAAATATTTATTTTGTTAACATTTTTTAACTATCATTTTATTGCAATGTGAAAGGAATGTAAGATATCTTATTAGCTTGAAAAAATATGGTTGATATTGAAATAAAAGCTATATAAACCACTAATGTGTAATTCTACTTACGTGAACAAGATGTTACCTAGAATTATTTTTTATTATGTATATACAGCATTTGATTTTTTGTAAAAATATATTTATAATACCCATGCATATGATGTTAAGCGTTTTCTGCATTTTTTATTATTGCAAATGAGTTCGTTCATGATTAAATTTTTATTTGATAAACAATTTCTCCAAATAAATATTTCTAATAAAATAAAATGTAAATTATAAAATTTTTAGTGTATAATTAAAATAAAATTAGATATTGCTATAAGACTATAATATAGAAAAAATAAATATTTGATACCTTCACAAATCTAATTTATACAATTATCAAATTGAAGAAATTACCAAAATATTTATTTTAAATCGTCTGCTTTAAAAATAAATTAATTATCCATGCGGAATATATATTTTTAAAATTATGTATAGGAATAAAATACACATATTTTTATAAGGAATTTTACAGATTTAGTTGTATTTTAATTTACATACATTCCTTAGAAGTTGATTAAAAAATCAAAAATGATTTTTATTGAGCGAAATATATATCATCTATTAATTACTATATATTAATATTTATAAACTATATATATATATATATTAAAAAAATATACATATAAAACTATATAAAAACTTTAATAAAATAAAATTTAAAAACCATATATAATAAATATATAAAATATTATAACAATAAAATAATATCCATCTATCCATTATATAAAAAAAATATTGTAAAAACTGATTGTATTTATTTTGATATTTTACATAATAAAATATTCATAATTAAATGTTTTAAAAAAATTTGACATAAATAATTCAAGGTTAATTAAAAAATATGTATAAATTTTTAAAAATAACCGTTTTATTGTCGATATATCAAATTTTTTATAATTGCCATAATTAAATGATTGGTTAAAAAAGATTTCAGAATTAATATATTAGATCAAATAAATATTAGTATAATGAGCCTTGTACATCCAGATTGTGACTGTAAATGTGAACATGATAGGCGGAAGTTTGAGCAGATTGGAACCTGATTTGTATTCTAACTTGTTTAGAACGTGGACAAAAGATTCAGACTTAATAAATGTATAAAAGAATAAAATTATATAAAACTTTATTCATTAAAAAAATATATATATTAGAATAAAGATTTTTAATTCCCATAACAAATATATTTAAATTCATTTTAAAAAGATTACCTTATCTGGTGATAAAATATGCCGAATGTTGGCCAACGAACCATTATTAGGTGCTGGCGTGATTTTCAAAATGTGACACATCAGCTCATATATATCAATGCTATTGATCGAATCAGTTTGGAACCCGGATTTGAAAGAAGGACCTTGAGCAAAAAATATTGGCCAGCTGTCGGGATGAGAATTATCAAACCCATGATTACCTATAAGTTATCATAAATATATAAAATTTTATGGGTATTCAAGAGGATGGATTTGGATAGTTGGAAAAGGAGGGGTATGGGTGGTGGATTTTAAAGAGGAATATTTTTAATAAATTCCAATTAAAATACCCTCTCAAATCCTGCCCCAGTTGAAGGGTGAAAAGACATGGCAGGCGGAAAGAATCCGATCTAACAGTTATTGGATTATCCAGAAAAAAGAAGAAGATAAATAATCAAATATCTGTAGAAAATATCGAGATAGAAAAAAGTACTATCTTTCATATAAATTTTTTTATAACTTAATATTTAATAGATCAACCTAATTCTCAGGCAGAATTTATTAATTTCATAATAACTAGCAATATAAATTCATATTTATATATTTTTAATTAACCTTATTTTAATTTAGCTAGTGTTGTTAAACGGCTCGTTTTGAGCCGATTTTTAAAAACGGCTAACTCAATATTTTAGGCAGAAAAATATTGCATAAGCCTAGAGATTTCGCTAATAGATGTCCAAACCATTGTTACTTCTACAAACAGAATCTTCAGGCTTGCGTAATATTATTCTAGATGAAATATTGAGTTATCCGTTTTTAAAAATCGGCTCAAAACGAGCCGTTTAACAACACTAATTTAGCAAATAGAAAATTGCCAAAATCCAGAGAAATATACCAAGTATAGATTTTTTAAAAATATTTTGTATACTTTTTTAATCCCAGAAAATAAACACATGGCCTATTCAAATCTTTCAAATAATATAGAAAAAGCTGTTTGGATTTTAGCATGATTATCGAAAATTAAAGTTAAAGATAAAATACAAATATATCAACTAATTATCAAAAATGATATCTTAACTATTCCGGGAGATATGCGATGTCTTAAAAATGATGATGTCGATATTAGTATTGTTGTTTCATACGTTACAAAGGAAGCTTGGATAAAACTTAATGTTTTACACAATTTTATTTTAGCGGAACTATGGCTTTGCCAAAAATGTGATATAATTTTGAAAAATAAATTGTACCATTTCCGTTGCCAAAATATTAAAAAAACTACAAAAACATATATGGTTATATATAAATTGTCATTAATGTAATTATTATATTATTTATTTTGCTTATATTTATAAAATATATAGATTAATAAAGCTTATTCAGTTTGTCACAATATATTAGGTTTGATTACATAAACCGATACTTTTTATTAAAAAAACAAAGTTAGTTTTAAAAAACAATGTTAAAATATACAGATAAATAGGCTTAATTACATAACTAATTGTTTTTATTAAAAAAACAAAATTCGTTTTAAAAATCATTGTTAGAATATATAAAAAAAGGTTATATTATTATAAAAAAAACAAAGTTAGTTTAAAAAAACAATGTTAGAATTTATAAAAAAGGCTTGATTACAAAAAACAGGGTTATGAATATACAAACAACAGGTTCCATTTGTGTGCACCTAGCCTATATATTTACCTCCAAATGGGGGCACCCATTCTAAAATTTTCTATTTACCCCCAAATGTGGGTGAGCAGCTTCTGTCTGTAATTTCATGGCATGTGCCACCTATACTAGTGAAGCCACTACTGCCCTGTAAAAATATTTTGCATATGTGTATAAGATCCAAAAACCTTGCCAGTCAATTTTTAGGCCATACTGATCTTTAGTATATATTAAATATGTTATGATTTTACCTTTGATAAGCAAACTCCGATCCTCTTTATTTAATGCTACTATATAACCTGGTTGTCCAATTATAATAAGATCCCCTATTCTAATATTGTTTTTGTAGTGCCATCTTAAGGGAATATTATTTTTTTTGTAAACTTGTAATTTATCTTGATACTTAGTGGCATTTAAAATGTTATGGAGAAGATTGATCTTTTTAGCTTTTTGTTTGTAAATTTTATTAAAATTAGTAATTGCAAATTGTTAATGATTTTAAAATAAATTGGGACTGATTTTTTAAAAATTTATAACTCTTAATATATCAAGCTATTAGAATATAAACTAATAAAATATTTTACTATTGTTAGAAAATATATTCCAGACAGGAGATGAGCCAACAATTATAAAGTCCTTTAAATCCATAATATCTGATAGAATTACATATTGATTTGAATGAATATTAGTCATTCCATGATCACTTGTAATTATAATATCAATATGATCTAATAATTTTTTTGCTTCCAGTTCATTGAATAAATAACCAATATCACTGTCTATACTTTTTAACATATTAAAAACTTCTCTAGATTCAGGCCCATATATATGACCTACCAGATCGGGTTGATAATGATAAATTAACCCAAGATTAATTTTGTCTTTGTTTGATGCAAATGATGATATTATCATATTAATTTTTTGCTTTAACATCATTTTATCAGAATATTTAGTATATAAAGTAGGATAAATTCCTTTGATTTTAACCTCACTCCCTGGCCACATTACAATTTTACTTCTAAAATTGCAAGATAAATTATGATTTCCTTTTTGGTTAGTTACCCATATAGGTTCAGCACCATTATCCCACCATCTAGTCTCTATATTAGATGGTTTAAAATAGCTTTTAAAATTTGGATCATACATACGATTATTTACTATTCCATGACTTTCAGGAAATAATCCTGTTACAATGGAAAAATGGCTAGGAAATGTTTTTGTTAGGAATAGATTTTGAACATATTTGGCTTTTACTCCATTATACGATATGCTTTTAAAATTTGGAAAATTATCGATGCCAAATCTATCTAAATAATTCCATGCAAACCCATCTAACGATATTAGAAGCAAATAATTGCAAAGCATGCACCTATAAAATTTAAAAATGCATACGAACGAAACACCTGATATTATATACCTGATGTAGCGTAGCAGTAGCTCAACTCAAGGAAACAAAATATATTTAATCAAGTCAAGTGAGTATCCAGGGCCTCATCTATGCTTTTTTAAACGGGGTATAAGATTAAATTCTTTAGGTTCCTGGCAAATATTCTTGATTTTTCCTTTGAATAAATTTTAAATTTAGAACATTATAGGAAAAAAACTCACACCACTATCGGTTTAAAAAACTAGTAATATTTAAGATGTCAAGATTCAGAATAATTTAAAAACCTGAGATTCAAAACAAAAAAAGAAGTTATATATTTTAAAATTTTTTAGAATCAACTATACAAAATAGGTTGATTAAAATAGACTGCTAATAATAACGAGAGAAGATTTTTTTTAAGTATTGTTGCATGTTCGCTTAAATTGTTGTAATTCATTGTATACTTCTTATATTATCTTTTAAATGAAATTAACATGTATATAAATACATCTCAAGGCGATAAAACATACATATATTGATATGTATTTTCATTTAGAATACCACTTGTTTTCTTTTGTATAACTATATTATTAAATAAAAAGACCACTTTTTTCTTTTGTATAACCATATTATCAAGTAAAAAGAGCACATCTTGTTCAATATTCCTACTTAATTATGCAATACAATCACACACAATTTATTCTATAGTATTTATTCTTGTTCAATATTCCTCCTAATTATGCAATACAATCACACACAATTTATTCTATAGTATTTATTCTTGTTCAATATTCCAAAATAAAATAAAATTTATTCATTTTATTTCATTCTTGATGAATACGTCAAATAAAGACAAATTACTACTAATTCAAATCAATCTCTGACTTAACAGGCGAATTGAACTTTTACCCTTGTTCAATAAGTAAAAATGCGAATGTCATGAATTTTAGTTGAAGCTTATATTATTTTTTGCTTTTGGTTTAAACGGCTGGTTAAGATATTGGTAAAATTAATATTATGTAAGCTTGGGTATTTGTTCATATATGGCAAAAGGGTTTTGACTTTTTACAAAATTTCAAGGCTTATATATAGCTATTTAATCTAAAATTTTAATAGGGTCATTTTAAAATCCGACCCAAATTAGGCGGTTTATCAAGACTACCATTACCATGATCTATAACTTAGTCAATAGTATTATAGGTCTTATACCAAAATTCGTTTTAACAAATGTAAGAAAGATTTTGAAAAGAAAAATTGCAAATTAAATAATTATGAAGTTAACAGCAGACGTTAATACCCCAGAGCAGCACTTCTATAAAATTTAAAGCAATAATATTAATAAAATTAATAGCTACATTAAAATTTAATTTAAAAATATACTATTCAATTCATTATATGAGATATATGCCTTTATTAAATTCAATATTTTATTTTATATATCTCTTATGACGATTCCGCTACTGGTATTAGGGTTCTAGTCAGGAAATTCCAGCAGGGAGGGGGATGTATACTTTGAGTTAGCAATTATTTTTTAAAAAATGAAACAAATAATTAAGCATTCATAGAAATTTTTGCTATTTTAATTAAAAAATTTAAAATATGAATAAGATAATACTATAATATGAATATACAAAATAATTATAAAACAATACGATTATTTTTATTTTTAAATTTTAACATAAATGAATTAAAGATAAATCCCATGTTATTCTTCTTTGTAAGCCATTAATACTAAATTTTGTTTATGTTCATCGATTCTCTAGTGCTTGTTAGAACTCTTTCGTGTAAAAATTGAGGCCTCTCAAGAAGCCGCAGATACCCCCAATGATGATGTCTCCTGAATAGCATTTATACAATTCTTTAAATGCAAAACGATATTTTTTTATTCATAATATTTAAGATAATTTCAAAATTATGTGTTTCTTTAGCTTCTGCAGCCAATAATCATTTTACTATTTTCATTTCATGATGGAATGTTATTATATGTAAGTTTCATTTTGTAGGACTTAAAATAATCTGCTTCACAATCAAATTGTAATTTGATCTTGATTAAAAAATTTTGAAAATTTTTAAGCGTTTTCCGTAGCCATGATTATTTATGGGGAAGAGATTAAATTTTGTTAAATGTTTCCAGACAAGTGGCGTTGCTAGGGGGAGGGGCGCAGGGGCTCGAGCCCACTGGGAAATTTGCATAGCCTTCTAGTGACGTTGCTAGGGTGGGGCGCAGGGGCTCGAGCCCCCTGGAAAATTTGAATAGCCACCTGAAGCAAAAAATTTTTTTTAAATGGAATCTTAGCTCCTTGAACTAAAAATATATTTTTTTGATTGCCCCCTGAAAATTTTTTTTTATAATTCTATTAAGTAAAATATAGATTAAATTTTATTATTTAAAATTTTTTATAGTAAACCCGCCCCCTACGGCACTGGGTTACATGAACTTAGAAAATTATTAAAAATTTTTTTTCAAATCATTTTATTTTTAAAATAGGATATATACAATAAATAATTAAAAATTTATATATTTAAAAAATAAATAGGCATATATTAAAAATGAAGTAATAAAATATATATGTATATAAAAAACTTACAAAAAAAAATTTAAAAAAAGGGAAATCACTCTAGAGAAGAGAGAATACTTAAAAAGTTGTACCTGAAAATTTTCATGGAGATCTGTTGACGATGGTAAAATCCCTCATTGGGGTTCCCTGAGATCTGTCTTATTTTCCTATGATTTTAAGGAAATTGAGGGCATCACTTACATACATGCCTAGGGTATTAATAACCTATCGAAACTAACACGGTGTTGGTAAAGCCAGCATATCTGTTTTTCCTTAGGATTTCAGCCTTTTCAATGGCAGAAAATGAGAGGTTGGACTTTGTAGCAAAATTGACAAATATAGTGCGAGCAGGAGACCATTAGTTCAGGGAATGAGGGATATCCCATCAGGACATAAGGCGTTTTCTTTTGAGAGACCAACGGGTTCGAGGGTGGATGGAATATTAACTTTTTGAGGGCAGCTAGGAGAATGTTATTGATATGGCGCGGTTGTCGTCCTTAGAAGAATTTGCAGTTAAAGGGATGGTAATCTTTCGATTTAAAGGTAGGGCTACAGTCGATACAAATGGAGGGAACTACAGCATTACAGCCAAGGCGGAAGGCTATGGAGATGCTTAGCTGTTCATCAGTCAAGAGGAGACAATGTTTGGAACTGGGGAATATATTTTTTGGAAAAATGAGCTAGTTAGCAATAGCCACTTATGACTAGTACGTTAATAAACAATATCCAAAGTAGCCCATATGTCATTCAAATTATCAATATGCAACATGCATAAAAAAAATGACCCTGATGTTGACATCATTTTGGAAGATATTATTTTTATCTATAATTATGTTTTTAACATCATATATATGCGGTTTGGTTCCGTTATTAATAAATTTCTCTCAGGTAACTAAAATAAATATGTAACTAATTTAATTTTTAAAAAGAAAAAATTGAAACAATTAACAATATTTGGAGCTGGGATACTTATTGGAACAGCTTTAGGAATTATCATCCCCGAAGGTATTGAGACCTTGATGCTTCCAATAAAGGGTTAACTTTTTTTAAATTTTTTTTATGAATAAACAACATTTTAATAGATGTATCACAAAATCAATCTTCATTGATAGGGTTATCCTTAATTTCTGGTTTCATCTTTATGTTAATAGTTGATTTCATTATAGAAAATATACCAAAAAGTAATTATAATATTTATTTTTCAATATTTCAACTAAATAAGCTATCTCTTAATTTAAAGTTATACCTATTTATTCTCAACTTTTGTATCAATAATTTGTATCTATAGTATACTTATTTAATATTTTCCCACTTCTTCCATTTAGAATTCTTGGTCCTTGAAATTTATCTCCAATATTTGTGTTTTGTCTCATTTAAAATATGTGTTACTTATCTAAACATTATATTGATGTTTTCTCTTGTTTCTTTTTATTTTCATTACTATAAAAAAATTAACTAAATTATTTTATTATTTAAGACTTGCTAAATGATAAACTATTAATTTTTATGGGACTTCAACACTGGGTTGTTTTTAAGAAAAATATAGCTAACCTATCCAAAGGAGTTAATCTGGTTAACCATTTTTTGACCTGAGTATCTACTCAAGTAAAACCTTAAGTATCACCTAAAGCACTGATTGAGTGCCAACTCAAGCATACTATGTTTTTTGCTCATTATATTTTTATGGGATTTTTTTTATGAATATAAACTGATAAACAATGATTGAATTTTGCTGGATACTTATATAGCTCTGTAAGTCAGTGTGGTGCTCAGAACAGTGTTTTAGTGTATAAGTCTACTCAAGTTAAAAAATTTTGTCAGCCAGATTAAGTATTTGGTTGAGTTAATTACTCACTCTTTTTAACAAAAATTATATTAATTTTACCTCATCAAGCAATTTAACAACACTTAGCTCTGCCCAAAACATTTAACTTTATACAAAATTTATCAAAAACACAAAATATTATTTTTGATAAAAAATAAAATAAAAATATTTATGAAATTCAAAACTTTATCATTAGATTTCCTTATGGTTTTAAAACTTTTAGAATTTATAAAACATTTGGATGCAACCTAAACTAGAATGCAAATTAATTATATTTGTTATAACATCTTATATATTGACTAATATTATTAATTTAAATTTATCATTGTAAAAAAATGTCTTTTTTATGTTTATAATAATACACCTATTTATTAAGTAATTTTAAAGGTGGAACATGATTAATAGTTAGAAATATACAATAACTTACTTAACTCTTTGATTTTTAGTATTTATAAGACCCCATATTTATTATGATATCAAATCTCAATGGCTTCAGTAAATTTATCCTGGAATTGTAAAAATTAATAGTATTCCCTTTTTTAAAACTTATTATTTTATATTTTTATCTGACAATTATTTATAAATTAGACATTAATTTCTTTTGCCTTTTATTGAGAATTCACATAAAAAAATTTTTTGTAAAGAATGGCATAAATTTATAATAATAATTTTTTTGTTTTTATAAACTACAAATAATTGATACAAAAATAAATAAAAGAAAATTATTAATAATATTAGTTTTTTTTACAATAAATACTAATAATAATATAAACAATACATAAATTTATTAATGTATTCAAAATATATTTATAATATTGGTAATAAACACTTATATAAAAAATGATGTTATATAACGCTAAATAAAATGCTATTAAATCCTCTCTTCCTATAATGACAAGAATGATTAATTTAGGTTCACTAGTTCTTAAAATCCATTTGTGATGTACTTGACTCTTTCAACCCTGACACGAGTACATAGGATAAAATAAATTTTATTTCTATTTTGAGAATGAAAATTAACTTTATGTGTAATGTATATATTAATAGCATCTACTGATTTTATATACTTAATATTAAGGGTACATCTAAACTAACTAAAAAATAATAAAAGGCTTATGCATTTTAACTTAAATGTTCAGTGGACAGGTAAGGTTATAATATTGAAACCTTATATTATTTATCTTGGGTTTGGGCATACCCTAAGGAGTAAAAAATTTATAAAATTTTGGTATAAGCTATAATTATCCTTAACCTTTTTTATTGCATGATAAATAATTAAATGTCTTATATAGTTTAAAAGGTTTTATTTATATGTCAAAATAAAGATTGCACATATATATGGAGATATATAAATTTTGAAATGAGGCAAATGTAGAGGGTCTAGGGTGTAGATTTGTCAAAGACAAAATTGGGAGAGCATTGTAAAAGATGAAAAAGGGAAAGCAACAGGTTTATTGAGAGAGTTATCAGATATGATTAAAGGTTCTGATTGAATGCTTAACCAATTTAGACAATCTAATTGTCAAGGAACTATTCCTGAGGATTGACGAAGAAGTATATTTAGTTCAGTATACAAAAGGAAAGGTGATCCTTTAGTTTGCGGGACTTAGAGCTATTAAACTCTGCAACATGCTATGAAAGTATTTAAGAGGGTGTTTGAAAAGCGGATAAAATAATAAACGAAAATGATGAAATGCAGGTTAAGTTTACACTGGAGAAAGGTACGACAGATGCCATTTTTATAGTGAGAGAAATACAGGCGAAGTATCTTGCAAATGTAAAGAAATCGTATTATGCATTTGTTTGATTTGGAGATGGCGTTTGACAGAATGACTTGTAAAGTTACTAGATAGGCCTTGAGAAAATCAGGTGTGGAAGAATGGTTAGTTATAGCACTGATTGCAATGTATTTGAAAACACAAACTTCAGTACGGACGGTTATGGAGATAGTAAAAGATTTGAGTCGAAGGTAGGACTTCATCAAGGATGCTGAGTCCATTATTATTTATATAGTAAGGGATATGGTGGCTAGAGGACTTCCCTGGGAGCTATTATTTTCAGATGATTTTGTATTAACGACAAACAATGAGGAAGAATAAGGAATAAAAATTAATAGATGGAAGATGGCTATGGAAGCCAAGGGCCTGAAAATGAATTCAGTAAAAACAAAGGTGATGATTGGTGGGGATAATCTGAAGATGGAGTAATCCGGCAACTGGCCTTATGGTGTGTGTGGGAAAGGAGTTGCTCGAAATTCAATCCAATACACCAGATGCCAGAAATGAGTGCTAATAGATTTGGCGGGAAAAGGAAAGTCGGATGTTAGCAAGAATGATATTTGTAGAACATGCATAAAAGGGGTGCATAATAATAATAACGTAGAAAATGGTGGTTTGGGTATTGGCAATAAACCACCCTGTGAAAAGTGGAAAATTTTTTCTATTTGGTTGATATTCTAAACGCAGATGGTGGTGTAGATTCTGCTGTTGTTTCAGGGGTCAGACAAGCATGGAGGAAGTTCAGAGAGATGTCATCTTTTCAAACAAGCAAAAACACCTCTGAAGTTAAAGGGAAAAATTTACGTAAGCTGTGTGAGGAGTTGCTTATGGCGGCGTAACATGGGCAATGATGAAAGCGGTCCACGAAGCCTCGGAAACAATAGAGATGAGGATGATTAGATGGATGTGTTGGGTATCTTTTCAAAGAGAAAAAAACTAGCAAGGAATTGCCAGGGGAATAGAAGTGATTGGAGTGGTAATGATAGACTAGGATGGTTTGGACCTGTGAAACGTAAAACGAAAGATGACTGGATAAAATGATGCATCTTGATAAAAGTAGGATGATCAATACCTCGAAGGAGGCCTAAGTTTACCAAGGTGATAGCGGCGGATATGAGAAAAATGAATCTTATATTGATGCTTATAACCCTCAAAAATGCAAAAGAAAAATCAGAGGGGAAACTGGCTAACCTGAATAAATCGAAAACGCCATTAAACGAAAAAGATGTCAAACCCCACCAGAGGATTTATTTTATTTTTCTCACAAAAGTAGTGAAGGGTTAAGCAGTATTTTTTTAACCACGTATTTCGCATTCTAAAATTTAGTATAATTAGACAAAAATAGAAATTTTTTTTTTTAAAAAATGGCGAATTTAAGCACCTACTCTTAAGTATAGCCCTATTTTAACAATCAAGTTTATTTTGAAAAAATATATAAAACACTATTTTTTAAATAAAGCGATATTTGAGCTCTACACATGTAGATTTATGTGTGATCCAACTAAATTATAAATGGACAGACACTCACAATCAGAATTCAGATTTAATTTTTTCGGACCTGATTTTGAATTTCATTAATTTTTTTTAGTATCCTTCATTCCTTAGAATCCGCTGTCATTGAAATATCTTACTCCTATTTTTAAAATAAAATTTTTGATAGTATTCGCACCTTTGGAAAAGGTCTTGATTGGATCGTTCATATAATAGAATTTCTCGGATAGGTGGACTGGAATGTAATTGGTATTATCTATTAGATATTTCCACCATAATTTTAATTTTCATTTTCATTATATATATATATATATATTAAATTTAAAAAAAAAATTTCTAGGAAATAATAGCAATTTTCTCATATCCAATGGAAACTCTAATTTCAAAATAAGCACTACGATTGGCTTGGTAATACATTCTGCCGGTAAATTTCTCTTCATAATAGTATATATTGGAGATGTACTGGGCCAGGCTTAGATCTGTTCAAATTTTTGTAAAAACTGAGTATAAATAAATAATTTATTTTGAAATTTAATGTAAAATTAATAAGGTCGTAAACAAACATGTTCAAAATGGATATGTTCTTGAATGACTTTTGTTTTTTGATAGAAAAAAAAATGGTGAAAGACATTCCTTTTATTTTTGACAAATTTTGAAGGTGAACGCGTTCCTTTTTTTTTAAAATGAACGCATTCGTGTTTTACGTTCTTTCAAAAAAAAAGTTAATATAAATCTAAAATAGATATAAAATATAATTAATATCTTTAATTTATTTATTTTTAAATATTATTCTTCGAAATTTAAAACTAATCACTAATTATTTTAAAGTTTTTATGAAAGGTTTTATATTTTGCTAGAAGAGGTGGGCGCGGGCCCAGTAAATACGCGTGATACGATGGGTTACAGCGTGATTGTGAATAAATTTTAATTTATTAGGCGGGGTTGGGCGTGACCATCCTTCACAAAATTTTTGACTGGAGTGATTGAGCGTGAACACAAAGTATTATTAATTTTATACCCCCCCCCCCTCTCTTACAGTAATAATATGATTTGTTGTCACTAGTGCTGTTAACGTTACTTCCAATAAGAAACGCGTTACCGTTACCCTGTGAACGAGTTACTCGTTAAAAATTAAAAAATATATACAAAAAAAATATAGGGGAGACCGAAATAAAACGATTAGTATTTCGAATTTAAAGTCTTTATGCTCAAGGGTTAATAAGTTATTCTCATTAACACTGTTACCCCGTCTTTACCCCGGTCTCTCCTGCATAATATAAATAAAATTATGCAAAAAATAATATATTAGATATCTTTTTATAATTTTTTATTTATGTTTAACAACAATTGATTTTTAAAATTGTTAAATGCAGCTTTTGTGCAAAACACACGTTCATCTGGCGCAGAGAATGGGAGGGTTGTATTATATTGGATAAATAAAATTTTAATTGGGGCAATTTATTAAAATTAAAGAATAATCTTTATTATGAAAAGGGCTTATTTCATCGTCAAAAGAATTTTCATTTAGATCCTCATCCAATTTTTTAAAATCTTTTTTAAAAATAATATACTTGTATTGTTTTTTTAAGGAATCAACTCTGCCTTTTTTTTCAAGAACTTTTCTCAAATGGAAATAAAAATAAGTTCAAGCTTCCTTCCTTCGCTGACATCTAGTTTTACGAGGGTCAATCTGATTTAAAGTGGGTGAATTATTGCTGATAATATATATTCAATTGAAATAAAATATTATCAAAATATAAACTGTAAACAATACTTCAACTGTATACCTTTTATATTTGTCTTGCAGAATTACATTAATAAATAGCTTACAAAATGAAGTTATTTAAGCCATTTTTTAATATTACAATTATCGTATGAGTGAGATTTTCAAAATGCATTTTTTCTTCTCCCTCTAAAATCGATAAAGCCGTAGGAGCAGGTTTCATAAACTACAAAATAATATACATAGCCATACAATATTCATCTATGAGTGACTGGCATGAAAAATAGCTAACAAAGTTATACACCTATTCAATCGAATTCTCTTAAATATCTAACTGACATTACTAATCTATGTGAAAACTATTCGAATATTTACGAGATATCTTTATTAGACCAACCAAATTTTGATCCTTTTATTCATTTGCGAAAAAATAAATGGTAATTTGGAGCGAGGAAAAAATCAATTGATGATAAGCCCAATGCAAAAACAATTTCTCATGATTTAAATTTATCTATTGATTCAGTTTATCGGTTCAAGCGCGGGAAACTTTCCATGAATATTACAACACCTCTTTATCAAATTATATAATAAAATATAGAGGTTGGAAGAAAAAAGATAACATAGAACTTCGATCGAATATTACTGAATTGTTTTGTAATAATAACGACTATACCAACAAAAATGTAATAGTACACTTACCGCCATATCAAAGAATGAGCGAGTAAGCTATATAGAAATGCATTAAATCAATGGGTTGGAGCCGGAAAAGGGTTATAAAAGAACCCGCTAGGAGAAACGCTCCAGACATATCGGTTTGTAATTTCGAGTTCAGGATTCGAACCGAAAATAAAAAAAAAATTGTTTTATCTTTATTCTCTTTATCAAATTTTTATTTTTAACCCCTATTAAGAGTCCAAGAGTGAATACTATAATTTTAGTAGAAAAATATTTTAATTAGCTTCTATTTGATAGTCATATCAATATTTAATGTTGATAAAAAATTTCCTGACTCTCCAAGACCTAGAGCCCATTTAGAGTTTAATTATCATTACAATTAAAAGATATTTTGAATACTTTTTATTTGATACCCATATCGATATTTTATTTTGATAAAAATATTTCTGACCCCCCAGACCTAGATTCGCCTTTTAAGGGGGAGAGACTGGGCTCCAGTTGATTAGACCTTTTGATTAGCTATCGATTGAGACCCTATATTAGACATATCTTAAGCTCCAGTTGATTAGATCTTTTGATTAGCTATCGATTGAGACCCTATATTAGACATATCTTATTTCGCAAAAAAAAACAACATGAAAATCAATAAATAACAATGAAATTAAAAAGAAATAAAACGCTTTTTAAAAGATTTTTCTTTATTAGGGTTAAAATGTGATAATACTATTATCATTCCAACTCAAAACCCTAATTTTTTATTATCCCTTTAAAACCCGTGATGATCCCGGATAATTCTTCTCCCTTTAATCACGAAATATATATGTTAATAATGTTTTTTTAAAAAAATAAATTGTTTTAGTTGAGAAAAAAAATATGTGTGAAGTAAATCGATATGAGATGAGAATATAAGATAGTGATTTACGTTAGAGAAGTGTTGAAATTGCAAAGGGAACGGGAATAGGTGTTTTATAGTTGAGTTTTTGAATTAAGGTTTTCATAAGAAAAATATAAATTGTTCTTAGTAAAAATGATGAGATAATAGAGTGATTTATTAGAGAGGAATGATGGCAAGCAAAAATAGTTTTTTTTTAATTAAAGCTTCTTTTAGAAATAATTTTTTTAAAGATTTTCTTGTGAATCAAAGATTCTTTTAGTGTAGAAGAGGTTGTATTACTTTTTTCGGAAGAAAGTAGTAGGGTGCCTTGAACAAACCGGTAGATTTATATATTATTTTATTAAAATTTGGGAAATATTTTTATTAGGAAAATGGGGAAATATTTTTTTTTGAAGTAATAAAAAGTGAATTAATATTTTTTTTGAGGTACATTGCCTTTATTTAAAGTTATATAATTCTAAGAAATAATATGGAGCATTAGCCAATGAATGGAGGTTATTGGCTCGGGAACAAGATGTACGTATTCCCCGAGCCCGGAGCATGGAAACCAGGTGGTAGGTGCGGCGAATGAGATTGGAGACTCCATTCAATGTTTCCGCTGTGGAATGGAGGGATACTTCCGGAGGGATTGTCCTCAGGTTGGTTTGCCCCGGAGAAGGGGAGTGAATGCTAAGGAGATTGGAAGTGGGGGACAGAACATCGGGGAGATGTCGGGGGCTCAGTCGGTATCTCAACCAAGGGAGTCACCGGGATTGGAGGTCCCTGAAAGACAGGCGGCGACGCACGAAGAATTTTTAGAGTAAAGACACAGGAGTTGGATAATTTATTTCGTCCATAGGGCGCACAGATCTTGCCCCGCCAATGAGTAACTTTGGATTGAGGAAGGGTGGAGATATTGTGAGTGAGGCTGTTTCTCTTTATTTTGTTGTGTATATTTTTTTTATCTTTATTATAGTTTTTTGTTACGCGTAATAATTGTGTAGCAACTGCGCAAGCATTTGACTTTGAATTGAATAATTTTTAAGACTCAGGATGAGTCCTATTTTATTTTAGAGAATTATATTTTTATTGTAGAATATAAAAGGCCGATCTTGAGGCAATATATGTTCATTATTTTATTTTCAAATAAAATTATTGGACCTTTTTTGATTACTGGGGTAACGATCTTTAACAATTATTCTAGAGGAAAACTAATCTTTCTAAAGCGGACAACCAATACTCTAATTATTTTTTTGAAAAATAAAATTTTCATTATAATAAATCTTTATAAATTTATTCTACTTATATAAGCTTCTAGAGGTATTTTTATTTAGTAATAGACCCAGCCTGGTAAATATTATAAAATTTTGAATGTTATCCAGTACATCTATAGTGATTAGTTTTTTATATACATATATATATATATATTTAAATTTTATATTTTAAATATAATAGCTGATGGTTTAGCATTAGGTGCTGCTGCTAGCACAGAAAGAATTGACGTTGAAATTGTCGTTTTCATAGCTATTCTACTTCATAAGGTTAGTCTATAAAAATGATAAATATTAGTAAAGGCATTATGTTCAAGCGTTGCTTTAATAAACGCGGCGTTATTACAAAATAAAGCTAATGGCTGTCATGAATAAGTCAATTATTGGGGAAAGAAAGGCGGCAAGACATATTTAATAATTTTTGAAAATAATAATGATAGTTGCTTGTAGATATATATGTATTCGCGTGTATTATAATAATTAAATTTAGCCAGTTTATTGTGAAACTGTATTTTAATTTTTTTAAATATTTTATTTTTAGATATAAGAATTAAATTTAGCAAGTTCATTGTGAAACTGTATTTTAATTTTTTTTGATATTTTATTTTTAGATGAAAGAATTAAATTTAGCAAGTTCATTATGAAACTGTATTTCTGCGCTTCCCTATAAAAGGGAAGCAAAAGATTGTAAATATATATATATTTTTTTTTTATTTAAAAATTCAAATGTTCCCGAAATTATAATTTGCTGATTTGAATAAAGTTGAAATTAATCCAATTTTGTGTTAAATCATTTTGGGAAAGATATCAATCGAATATGAAAAAACTGAGTAAGCGGACGGACAACGTGATTGTTGGTGCCGTGACCAAACCGAAAACAAAAGGGGAGGAGCACTGTGGTTACTGGTTACTGGAAGTTGTAGTAGAAGAAGAAACCGGGGATAAAAAGAGAAAAGCACTGTGGTTATTGAAAGGGGTAGTAAAAAAAGAGAGAGAGACCGACAAGGGAAGTAGTGAAGAAAATTGATTGGACTATCATGTTGTCCGTCCGCTTACTCAATTTTTTCTTATTCGATTGATATCTTTCCCAAAATGATTTAACACAAAATTGGATTAATTTCAACTTTATTCAAATCAGCAAATTATAATTTCGGAAAAAAAAACATTTGAATTTTTAAATAAAAAAAAAAATATTTTTACAATATTTTGCTTCCTTTTTATAGGGAAGCGCAGAAATACAGTTTCATAATGAACTTGCTAAATTTAATTCTTACATCTAAAAATAATAAATTAAAATACAGTTTCACAATTAACTGGCTAAATTTAATTATTATAATACACGCGAATACATGTATATCTACAAGCAACTATCATTATTATTTTCAAAAATTATTAAATATGTCTTGCCGCCTTCCTTTCCCCAATAATTGACTTATTCATGACAATGGCTATGATTTAAAAATATGAAGCGTTATGATGAAAAAGCTATGGTAAAATTTGAAAAACATGTTGCGATGCGTCAGTAAAAAAATATGCAATTACGATTATAAAAATAGCAATTATCTCTATTTTAGCTTTCTCTTAATTTAGTTTTTAAAACGAATCAGATGTAAAACACTGCGTTAAATAACTTCAACGCTTGAAGATAACGCGTTATATAAATACATCGTTATTTCTCGAATTATAATATCTTCCAACATCAGGGCCCTTGTTTTATATAATCACTCTTTATAGTGCCCACAAATTGAGGGTTTGCGTTTTCGTAATTTGTTTAATAAAAAACGTAACCCATCTCTTGTTTAAATCTGACCTCACCTTTTTTTTATTAATATCGTCGATCCAAATTTTAACTAAGTTTCTAAAAAAAAGGATTTGCCTAAAGATTATTTTTATCGTCTGCCTTTTCTATTTCTTTAATTTCTAAATATTCCATTTTAGTGATATAAGGTTTTTTTTACATTTTATATATAATATTACTTACTCAATGAAGAATAAAAAGGTATTGACCTAAAAAAATGGTTGCTAACGCTAAACGGTAATTTGACCAATTTGCATGATGCCATTTAAAATGAATTATTTGCTTTTGAAATGCATAATTTGTGAGCTCCTTTAATACCAGGGTTTAATATTTGCTCATAAAGAAAAAAAAATCCTCAAAGATTTTGATCTCGAAGATTTTTCTTAAAACCTGCTTATTACGTAATAAAAAAATGTTAATTCACAAGCATCATTCTTAACCTTATGTAATTATTAATATATAGTTTTAAAATTTGTTAACCAATTTTTTTTTAAAAGAATGAGTTATAAATAAAAAATTATCCTATCCCCCTTGATGTTGATATATGCTTATTTTATAGAGATCTCCAAAAAACAAGGTCAAATTTTACTCTTTTTTTGCCTAATTTTTTATTATTTTAATTACGCGCACAAGGGACCCGCCGCTTTTACTCTTACAACGTTTCTAGTTCAAGGCGGTTTAAATAGAGACAGTATCCGGAAGCATCTTTTGATATTCACAATGGCGGCCCCAGTATCTGCCATCTTTACATTCCTCATTCTGAACTCAGTATATATTTTTTTTCAAAAACATAATTTATTATTTATATTTGAAATATATAAAACAATATGGGTTATGTGAGAACTCTCTAAATTTGTTTTTTTTGGTCTGAACCTAGTCAGATTTAATTTATAATAAAATGGCCAAATTTTTTATTTATTTTTTAAACCCCCAGCCAGAGATTGTTTTCAGGCTCGGCTCGGCCATAAATTTTTAATAGATCGTTTTATTTTAATCACGGCTTCGAACCGAACCGCGAAGCCCCAGTGAACCTTCATAAAGAAAATATAAAAAGAGTGAACCGAACCGTTATAAATATTTTGACTCGGGTTAAACCGGTTAATAACGGTTTTTATAAATAATTAATTTAAAATTATTAGCCAAAATTTGGAATTTTAATTTTTCTTGGGCGCAATTTAAATTTGTGATTTCTTTTCAAATTAAAATTTTTTTCCAATTTAATATTCATTCATTATCTTCATATCAATAAATCCCAAGTTAATTCTTCTTACTTTCTTTGTTCAATTTAATATAGATTAGGTGAAATACTAATTAATTAGATATGAAATAATCTTCATGGTTAAATTAAATAAGGAATTATAAAAATATAAATTAAAAAGATTTTTCAAATTTATAAAAACAATGAACCGAAAAGAAACGTTATGAATTCTAAACCTAACAGATATGAATTTTTTCAAAAAAACAGAATTTCAACTTAAAACCGAACCCCTATACTTATCGGTTCGAAGCCCTGATTTTAATAATAAAAGAAGACAACATCGTAATAATATTTATTATATACCTTTTTATGTTGTATTTGATATTATAGTGATATTGATAGATAGATATATAATATATATATATATATAGATTAAGATATATGGCATATAATATTCTATTTTATAAACAAATCCAGAATTAAAAAAATATTATATTAAACGGATGAATTATTATCTTAGTATATAATATTAAATATTAATATTTAATTAACCCTTCACTACAAAGGTGGGGTAAATGATACCCCACGGATCCTGAAGATAATTTGACCTGGTTTTTATAGTAGTTTAATATTTTGTTATAAGGAACATATCTATCAAATTTCAAGATAATTGATTTAATATTTTTTAAAATATTTGCAATTTGTTGAGGGGGTAGTATAGGTCCCACCTTTGTAATTACGAATTTTTTTTTTATTAATTAATATTATTGTTAACAAACTAATATATAAAATTGAAAAAAAAAATTTATTTTTAAATTTTTCATTGTTGTATTGTGACCCAAAATTTTATTCTATTTTTTTTCTTGTGGAGCTAAATACTATAAAAGATGCATATGTAAAATTTAATATCATCAAGTTGAAGTATTGTCTATTTAATATTAGATATTTATAACAATGAAGGTAGATTGTGAGTCAGGTGATTACAACTGTAGTTTCATACATACCAAAAAAGTATAAGAATATAATGTTGCTTTCTACACACTACATTATGATAACAAAATTGATGCATCAACTGATGAGTTTAAAAAACCAGAAATTATAACTTTTTATAATTTAACAAAAACTGGAGTTGATACAGTTGATCAACTATCCTCCATTATTTCCAGGAAATCCAATAGATGGTCCTTGACCATTTTTTATATAGTTAATATATCAATAATAAATGTAATGATAGTTTATAAATCTAATTCGAATATAAAAATTTATAAAATTATTGGCAATGGAACTCCATATATGATCAGCAGATCTGAGAACCCTAGTGTATGTAGATTATTACGTAACAACATTGGAGATGTTCTCAATATAACTGATGGAAAACATATTCTATCAAATAAAAAAGGAAGATGTTATGATTGTCCAAGAGTGAAGGACGTAAAAACAACATTTATTTGTTTAAATTGTTCAAAATTCATTTGTAAAGATAAATGCATACATTTTGTCATGAATTTTATTACAAAAATTTACATATTTGATGATTAATATTTTTTTTAATATTTGATATTTTTTTATAAAATTTATATTCAACATTGATTTAATAAAATGTATAATAAAATTTGCATTTTTTAAATATTTTATGGTGATAAAACTATAATTAAAGGAAGGTCTCAGAAAAAATTTTTATTTCAGCAACTTAAGGAAAATTTGCAAAATTATTTAGAAGCAACTATTAATCTAAGATTTTTTATTTATTATCTCCAATAATTTCTTAATATATATTCAAAATTTTAGATCTCAAACTTTAATATGTTCTGAGATATAGCTAATCAAAATTTGGGGTAAACTAGACCCCACCTTTGTAGTTAAGGGATTTTTTTCCACCTTTGTAGTAAAGGGTTAAAATAAATTTTTATAGGAATTTATTCGATTAGTTAATATGTTAAAAACTTGAATCGTGACTATTATTCAAAAATATTGATTTAAATTTGATTAAATCACGCAACCCCTAATCGAAAATGAATATATATTATGGCAGGATTTGTAAAAAAAATATCTTCTGTCCATTGTCTAATCATATTTTTAAAAGTTACTTTGCTTATATAAAAAGAAATTACATAGTGGTGGCACTACCCGTACCATTGTGCATACGATGGTATAATTGTACCAACGTAAATTAAATGGGAGTCTGGAAATTCAATTTATTTTTCTGTAAAAAGGGGATATTCTTTGATTAATTTGGAATGCGATATAAAACTTGAAAAAATGGATACCTTTTAAAAATATATTTTTCATAATTAATATTCTTTTTATTTTGTTTTATTAATATAAATGTCGTTAAATATTTTAATATCAAATGCTATATCTGTAGATTTTATTTAAGTCATTTATTGGTGAAATCTAGTAAATTCTTATGGATTATTTTATTTTGTCAAATATCTCTTGAAATCTGTTTTATACAAAAGTCATGTTAACGAATATATTCTATATAGTAAAAATTGTTGGTTCACTCTAAATCTACAATAATATTTTTATTGTAAATTTAGACTTGGTCCAGGGTTCACTTCTTAACGCTCTTTTTAAAACGCTTGCAACGACATTAATGAATTTATTGATCCTGCCTTTCGTTAACATTTGAGAAATTTAAGGAGTTATGAATTTGATGATAAAATTTTTTAATGTCTGTAAACGATTTTGTTAACAGGTGATTTATAAGAATTATTTCTTTTTACTTTTTTTAAGCCTGGTCCACGATATTTATTTATTTTTAAAATAAATTTAAAATCCGAGCTTGGTCTGGTTTTTAACCACAATTTAAGTCCCGAATCGAACTTAGGCTGGATTCATGGTGGGATCCGATCCGACACGATTTAAAGCTGAAAAATTCTATTCATGATTATATGCTTGCAAGTTCTTTGTTGAAATGTATACAATTTTTACTTATTGTCATTTTTCATCAAAACATATTTTTTTCATCCCTTAGATGAATCAATATTATGACCACTTCTCTTTAAATCGCACTGAAAACATTAATCCACCTTACACTCCTCTATATCCTGCCTTTTCCATGAACGGTAACTCAACTTCTCATCACCTATTCACCTCTTCGAATTCTCCCAGGTTTAATAGTAAACAATTGAAAACAAAATATAAAATTATATGATTGAATAACCAATTCTTTTCTATCACCCAAATACTTAAGATTAATATTTCTGTTATTTTATATACTTTAAAAATTTTTTTTAATTATTAATATTCCTAAAAAAAGTCACGCAACCGCTATGGCCATGCTATTCAGTGGGGCTACATTTCTCTACGTCGCCGCTTTTCACATCTTGCCAGAAACAGACTTTTTGGAACATTCGCCTCATAATAAGTTTGCTATAATAAATAAATTTAGTTAAATTTTATAATATTTGAAACAGTATTTTATTTAGAAATTTCTGGCTCGTCTTATTTCTAAACAGTCTTATGTATCGCCGCCTATTTGGCTTCCTCTAAACCGCTTAAAAAAGAAAACTATTTAGAGTTACATAGTTGGTAGCGTTAATTTCATTTGCCTGGGCTAACTAGAAATAATTCAATCTAAGTCTAGATATAAGAGAAATTTTTTTTTTAATTTAAGACAAGATCAGTATCTTTCATATCTCCAGTAAGCATTGATCGAAATATTTTACCTATATCAAAAGTGTTTATACTTAACTAACCATATATTATCTTAGTAACGTCAATCATTATTCCAAAACTCCACGAAGGAATACCACAGTGCCATCAATGATGAATTTAGGCAATGAACATTCTTTATTACGAATGGATATCGCAGATGAAAAAATCGAAGTGGAAAACGAAGCAGATGATTTGACAAAGATTTTACTATCACCGACAAAACAACTAAATGTTAATGTTTTAAAAAATATTAATGACGATTCTGAAATTGGATGCTTTAGGAAATATCTATTGTTCCTTTCGGGTTTGGTGTTTCCCATAGTTATATCCACTATCACAATGGATCATTCACATTGAAATTAGCTATTTTTTGAAATGATTAAGGTAATCATGGTATTATGAATTAATCAAATAAAATCGAACAACTCTATAAAATTTTAATGGTAAAAAATAAAATGCTCAATTTCCAATAAGATTAAAAAATAATAATCGCATTTTTGCAGAACCTTTTAAAATACGGTCACAAATTAATATATATGGTCATGCAACACCATTATATATCGACCATTTTTTTAATAAAAATATGTATACATATACTTTATATATACACCTTAATTTATTAATAATTATATATAGGAATATAGACATCTAATTTATATAAAAAAATCATACTTATATATTTTAATCATGTTTTAAATATGAAATAAAATTTTGTTTGCTTAATTTTAGTTGTTTAGATTATAATAATAAAATGGAATGTATCAGAGTCAGCTGATACTTTTATAGTATTAATCGATACAGGTGGCTGATAGCCAAAAATGCTGATTAGCTTTTAGAAACTTTAAAAATAATCATATCAATTTAAAAATAATTTTTACTAATATTTTGAGTGAAAGTTCATTTCTGATATATTATCTAAAGATACAAAAAAATCATACTTATATATTTTAATCATGTTTTAAATATGAAATAAAATTTTGTTTGCTTAGTTTTAGTTGTTTAGATTATAATAATAAAATGGGATGTATCAGAGTCAGCTGATACTTTTATAGTATTAATCGATACAGGTGGCTGATAGCCAAAAATGCTGATTAGCTTTTAGAAACTTTAAAAAATATCATATCAATTTAAAAATAATTTTTACTAATATTTTGAGTGAAAGTACATTTCTGATATATTATCTAAAGGTACAAAATATTTTATATTTTGTAACTTTTTTTCATAAAAAATCTTTCAAGATGAAATCACAATTTTTTTAAAAAAAATAAATAAAAAAGATGTTTTTTCACTATTTATTTTGACTTTAATTTAATTTACTATTACAAATTTTCATAAATAATAATGTTGATAAATCCTTTTTTAAATTAAAACGATTTATTTTGATAGTATAGTAATTAAAAAATGGTCGTAAATTAGGCCTAGAACACATAATTAGAAATAAAATTTAACCATATTTTTTAAAAAGAGCTTTTTTTCAATAGATATTATTATTTTTTGGCGTGATATCAGTTGATAATGTGTCAGTATTCGTGGTTATGGTTTTGGTATAAGCTAAAAAAAAAGTGATAAGTACATTTCGGCCAGCTCGGGACATAACCTCGAACATACATGGGGCACGAACCCCCAAATTAAAAAGAATTACCAATTTTATGTTTTAGAAATAAAATTAAACATCTTGGATAATTACATAACGGTTATTTTAGGTAGGTATCGCTTCGACTTTTGGGTCTATTTTTAAAAATATAACTCACCGTAATAACTAAACTTGCACACCGATCTTTAGAGGTTTCCCACTTTCGTTCTGGCAGATAAAACATTTTCTTGTATAACAGTTAAAAAAATTTTTCTTCCATTGGTCGAAAGCGAAATTTTTTTTCCTTACTAAATTAAAAGCCATGCCTCAAAGAATATTTTTTTCATAAAGATCCAAAAGCTTTTAGTCACATTTTTTTTATTATCTTAAAGTCTTGAATTCGTTTCAATTGATATACAAGTGGATTTAGATCGGGGGCCTTGTTTTCCTAATATAAATTCCGCCTTTCGAAATAGCTAATATTCTACTTTTCTCTGAGGATTTCGGTAATCAAACTTGATGCATTTCAATTTTTATCCTAGTGACATAATTTTTTCATGAGTCTTCTATTGAAAACATTTTTAATTTACAAATTTTAGTTTTACTTTTTGGGGGTATTAATAAAAAGCTTTTCAACCAAAATTATAATCTGATTCTAGGAAATTTTTTTAGAAAAAAGTTAACGCTTGACTATAGTCCAACATAATGGGGACCCATTTTTGAAAATAAAATTAAAAAAAACAAATGCCATGACGCGTCTATAAATATTTAAAACCGCTAAATTTATTTTTGGCAACCAGATTTAAGTCGAGCCGGTGGTAGGGGGGATCACCTCCTTTTAAAATTTGCCTGTTCATGTAAATATCATTTTAAGCTGATAATCCCCCCCCCCTTCTCCCCATAAAATGAATACAATATACCACTAAAGAAGAATTAAAAGAAAGATTAGAAAAAATTAATATTATAATGTCCACTTAATACATTACGAAACCTATCATTCATTTTACAATCTTAGAATATATAGATTCAAATTTTATATTTTTGATTCTCTTCTGTAAAATTATATCTATAAATAGGAAGAATATTTTAAGACAGGGAACACTTCTGCCAGCCAACTTGGGTAGCTGGTCCTGTCTAATAGTATCATACTAAAAATATTATAAAATAATTACTAATATTTATCAGTAAACTGATTCCATCGTCTATAAAAGAGATAAAAGATCCCTTTTCTATATTATAATTGGGATATTTTTATTCGATGTCTTTTTGCCTTATGATATTTTTATCCGAGTCATGCCTAAATAATTCAACTAAGCACTTAGGTGCGATTTAAGTTAAGTCGAGGTATATATTCAAAAAGCACACCCAAGATCGAGGCAATAACTAAGCTAAAAATAAAGCAATTTACCTCGACTAAATTAGATACTACTTTTCTAAATTTTGGGCAAAATTTATTTTGAAATTTGGAAGATTTTTTTCATGGTGCATGCTTAGCCTGAGCACCATATCAGGTTGTTATTTTTACGACCAAGCATTTTAACATTACTAGTCTTAAGGTAACATTTCAGTTTTTTTAAGTTTTAAAATGAAACTTTGCAGTATTTTAAATTGAAATCATGAAATTATACTTTAGTAACAGGTAATATAAATAATTAGAAAATGCGCTCATTTCAATTTTTTTTCTTCTCTCAAATAAGTTTTATCGGTTCAAAATAATATAAATCACCAGAAACATGATATATGTTGTATTTAAGAGTCTCCCTTTTGGTTTGTTTTAGTTAAAATGATATCATGAAAAAAAAACTAAATTAAATAATTGTTGACAGATTGTCATTCTCATTTATATCAAACGCATACGCCACCTATCCCTTTCTCTTTATTCGTTATAAAAAAAATAATACTCGCATTTGGTACTAATAATATATATTACAATAAATAAATATATATTTTTTTATATATCTCCATTTATTTTTGCTTTCCACTGCCTAATAAATTTGAAGGATTAACACTTTGTAACTGCCTCATTACGTTTTGGAGACCACCCATGCCACCTAAAATAAAGTTTACAAAATATTATTTTTAAATTAAAAATCTAGGATATGTAATCAAAAAAATATCATACCCATTTGATGAAGCACTCTTGGATCCATTATTCTTGCCATTTGATGACTTAATTGTGACATTTGAGAGGGATTTATATTTTTATTCATGTCCCCACCTTATTTTATAATTCGTGTATTTTTTTTAAAAAATTTGGGCATATTTCATCGAAAATGTAAACCTACACATTAAAAGGCATTTTCCTATCCTTTAAAATCAAAATGCGTTAGTAAAATTTTTGTTACCTTTAAAAAGTCCTTTCATGCCTCCCATTTTCTTGACCATAGCGGCAAATTTTGTGTATTGTCCCAGAAGCTCGTTTACTTCTCTTAACGAGACGCCAGAACCTTTTTAAAATTAATTTTAAATATTTGAAAAAAATCGTTAAAAATATTTTAACATTTGATCGAAAAATTTTTTCATTAAAAAATCCTCAAAGATTTTTCAAATCTTTATATTTCCTCAGGCTATAACCTAAATGTATTTTAAAAAACCTTAAAATTTATAAATTTTGGTAAATAAAAAATTATGAAACATGTTCAAAATTTTCTATCAAAATTATTTAAAAGTTTTGTAAATTTTTAATTTCTGCCAAATTATTTTTATATTTCCCATTAAATTTAAATACTCCCCAATTTTTATTAATGTATAACTATCCATTTCTTATTATAATTTGTAAAATTAAAATAATTTTATTTAATTTTTTATTGTAAAAATTTCACAACTTTATATATACCTTAAACTATAATTTTATTAATTTCTAGAATCTTAAAAAATATCAGTAAATTCAATAATTTAGGCAACTATTTTATTTTTACATTATAAATAGCCCATTTCTCATTTTTTCATTAAAATTAATATATTTAATTATATTTTTGATATTTAGGTTACAGTCTCAAGTTAGTCGAATCTACTTTATAAAATTTTGGAATATATTTATATTATATGGCAAAAAAATAAGAATTATTCAAATAAATTCTCGTATTATACGATATAATATTCGTACTTTATAACTTACTTGTGTTGTGAACAGGGTTGATTAAATACACAATTCTTGTATTTTTTTTATTGCAATATTTAATTTAAAAACTTTGCCAAAACTAACAAGACTAATTATAAGGAAATTGGGCACCAAATATTAAAATTTTATGAAATTTACATTTGCAATCTCAACGCCTTTGCAAATATCCTTAAAACATCAGCTCTCAAAAAAGCAAATTTAAGTTACACCGAGAACACGACGTATTTTCTTTATATTTCCATTTTCAACCTAATACAAAAAAATAAATACCTTTAGCAACTCTCAACGCTCTCCCGGCCTCCCTAGCGAAGAGCCGAGCACCGTCTTTGTTGTCCAACTCCTTATGAGTCATGCTATCCATCACGCACATCATTCTCTTCAGCTTGGCAGATCCTTCTTCCATCCTGGCAGCTTGCACTTGTTCTCCGTTCATATCCTTTTCATTGATACAAATTTTTTTATATTTAATTTAATTCTGAGCCAATTTTTCTTAGATTAAAAATTCTTTTTAGGCTTATCATTAACTTTGGATGATGTAGTGGGAGGACAAAGAAAATCTTGGGTGAAACCTGGGATCATTGTCATTATTTGGGAAAAAGGACCCATTTTCATGATGTTTTGAAATTGGTCATACATATCCCGAATCGTAAATTGACCTTTTTTTAATGATAGAATGAATAAAATTACAATAAAACCTTTTTTTTGTTAATAAATTTAGGAGTGTACCCAGTGATGGGTATTTAACAAAAAGATTTTCTAATAAATAATATTTGTGCCTGTTGAGTATTATAATGTTCTATATCCATTTTTTTCAAAATTTTACCAATTCCAAAATTAAGCATTTGTTTTTGTTACTAAAAATATTTAGCCGTTTTTCTTAATATAAATCTGATCAATTTTTTCACAAAGAAAACACTAATTTTAAATTTTGTAGACTTTGTTTATAAAATTATAAATAATATATATATTAAATATTCCCTATTTTTTAAATAAATATATTAATATAATTTTTTTTTTAAAAAAGCATAGTATGAAAACCAGCCAAATTACCCTGCATTCACAGTTAGCGGCGAAGCATATAAAAATACAGCATATTTTGCATACTTCACTGCGAATTCGTGCTAACTACGAATGCAGAGTTATAGATTTTAGCCCAGTCCGGTATATCTCTAATTTTAACAAACCATGAACTTAAATTCTAGAAGAAAAGTAAACAGTTAAATGCCTATCATTATTATTATTATAAATGTTGTAATTTGAATGATAAAAGGAAACGAATTATAACCTTGTTTAAGTTTGCCTATTAGCTCATCGTTATCGTCTAACTTTAATTCGTGCACTTTTTCTACCAAACCCTCAATGTCACCCATACCTAAAGATCGTATTTTTATATTTTTGAATATATATATATGTATATACAACAAAAAATGTAAAATAAATGATAACGGGAAATACCGCTCCTTATTTTAGACGAGTTTAATGAATGTGGGGTCGCTCCTTTCCTCTTTTTACAAGCCTAATAAAGCCCTCCAGTAATCTGGGCCTCTGCAGTAGTTTTGATAAAAAGCCCGATTCGGGTTGATTTAAAATAACGGCTTGAATAAGAACATAACCAAAATAACATTATCTAAACCTAAAGATTTTGCTCATAGCTAGCAGAAATGCGTGGACATCTATTTTTTTATTTACCCCATTGATTACTCACATTACTCCCCTGGGAGTTGGAATTTATAGGAGCAAGGAAGTGAAAATAAGATTGACTAAAAGAAGGAAGAAATAAAAAAATAAAGACAAAGATATGAAAGTAGAACTTAAAATTTTTTTAATTATTGTTTATTCTTTACGAATTGATGGTTATATTTTCAAGCCACTCGCATTTGTAGGCACATTGGAGATTTATAATTGCCAAATCACTTGGAAACGTATTAAAACAAAGGCACATTGCTGATTTCACACATCAAATTTTTGTTTAAATTCAGTAATCATATCGTATCAAAAAACAGATACATTTTCGATTCACTCATCAAATTCTTAATTTAATTGAGAAATCATAGTGAATCAATGTAAAAATACAGTTCCGATTCATCAAATTTTAATAAATTGATAAATCATAGCAATCAATATAAAAATACCTGATTCACTCATCAAATATTTTAATCCTTTTTCGAAAATTTTATTTCTTCCTTATTAAATTAACAAGGCATGGCATATCACATCTTCCTGGATGTCATTTCTTTTGCATACCATCGATTTCAAAAGGTCTTTATAAACTTCCCAATTTTTCTATTCGTTTTGAATAACATATATAATGTTTTATTCCTGTGGACACAGCAGGTGGTATAATAATAATTGCTGCTCTTAAAAAAAATGTTTTAAGAGAAAGATTTATAAATATCGGGAAAACATTTCACATCCTGTTGTTTCAATAATGGTTTGTTCATGAATTTCTGAATTTCTTATTCATGCACAAGGTTCAAATTCTTGCACGATTTACAGAAGGATTTGGCAGGCAAGGTGTCTTCAATCGCAGCTGCCAAGTTTTGGATACTTGTTGTATTTATAATGTTTATACCAATTGGTATATAATATAAGCCATTTCTTGTATTCTCCGTCTTATAGCACTCATTATTATTGCATTTAAATTTATCCGTTATACTATATATATTTTTGAAACATTTGTCGATGACATAAAAATAGTTGCCTCACATGGTAAACGATATGAATCATTAGTATTAGTAACAAAAGTCTTGGGAAACATCGTCATCGCTATTTCAGCTCTCATTATATACGTTGTTTTATTAGCAATTTATTGAGGATATATCCCTTAAGGTCTAACATTATGCAAGTACATTTTAAATATGGACAAACAACTGCCTCTACTACTAATATTGAAAGTTATGTCAACAACTTAAAAAATAGAACTTTTAAATCTGAAACATTACCATTATGTTTGGATAAGTTTAAGGATTCCAACGAAATAAAAGGTATGATTAATACTGACGGAGGCTGCAAGAATTACAAATTTAATTAAAGAAGAAAATATTGACTTAGATGTCGCACAACAGTCAGAATCTAAAATTAACGAGGAAAAGATTGAAATAATAGATTATCACAAGAGCCCTCTGATTTGAAAATGCAAATAATTTTAAATTAAAAAAGTTTCGATTGACGATGAAATTTCAATAAATGAAAATCTACTATTTGAAAACTGGAAAGGGTTGGCGGATAAGCCATTTGCAAGAAAAAAGGGGAAAAAAGGGTTTTTATTAACGGGCTCACTGCTAAAATTTTGCACTTAATAAAAGGCAAAAAAATTAAATTGGGATTATTAAGAAATGGAAATTTTTTCACAACGGCATATCCTTTAAAAATAGGAACAAAACAGTTTTTAATAGGGAATACATGTCCTATTGATGCATTTTCTCAAAGGAAGGCGCTGGCCTGCTGAGATAAATGATTATACTTCTCATATTTTGATCAAATAATATATAACGTTTTTCAGCATTTTTTAAATTTGTATCACATGGAATTAATAAAACAACATATATAATGAGAGCTGAATTAGCGATGACGATGTTTCCCAAGACTTTAGTTACTAATACTATTGATTTATATCGTTTATCATGTGAGGCAACTATTTTTTATGTCATAGATAAATGTTTCAAAAATATATATAATATGACGAATAAATTTAAGTGCAATGATAAGTGCTACGGAGAATATAAGAAATGGTTTATATATACCAATTAATATAAACATTATAAATACAACAGGTATCCAAAACTTGGCAGCTGCGATTGAAGACACCTTGCCTGCCCAATCTTTCTGTAAATCGTGCAAGAATTTGAACCGTAATTTATTTTATACCACCTGTTGTGTCCACTAGGATATTATATATGATTTAAAACAATAAATGGAACTTGGGAAGTTTATAATGACCTTTTGAAATCCATGGTATACAAAAGAAATGACAAGCAAGAAAATGCGACATGCCATGACTTGTTATATACAATGTAAAGAAAGAAAGAAAAATTTAATTAGTATTAAAATATTTGATGAGTGAATCAGACATATTTTTATATTGATTAGATATGATTCATCAATTTAATCAAATTTGATGAATGAATCGGAAATGTATTTTTACACTGATTCACTATGATTCCTCAATTTAATTAAAAATTTGTAAGTGAAACGGAAATGTATCTGTTTTTTGATATGATATGATTACTGAATTTAAATATTTGATGTGTGAATCAGCAATGTGCCTTTGTTTTAATGCGTTTCTAAGTGATTTAGCAATTATAAATCTCCACGGAGACATACCAATGTGCCTACAAATGTGAGTAGCTTGAAAATATAACCATCAATTCGTAAAGTATAAACAATTATTAAATTTTTTTAAGTTATCCTTTCATATCTTTATCTCTTTTTTAATATTTCTTTCTTCTTTTAGTCAATCTTATTTTCCCTTCCTGGCTCCCATAAATTCCAAAAACCACCTTTACGCGGTGGGGAATGAATGTGAGTAGTTAATGGGGTAAATAAAGTATTAAAACCCTCATCTAACAATAATAACTTAATTTAGCTTTAAATTATATATAAAAAGGTAAAAAATTGTAGGCCAAAAGTCGATTCGCCCATCATTCTTGACGGGTTAGCGAACTGCTAGCTATCATAATACCATTAAAAATAAAGTATAAAGTTTGACCATTAATATTCTTCAACATTTCTATACATAACTTTTACATTTACACTTATGCAAAAATGTATTTAAATTAAATTAAAAAATATATTATGGTAGAGTTTTGAAAGAATTTCATTTGTCGTAAAAGTTTAATGTTGTACTAGAATTATCACACTAACATCCCTCTCATTAGAAAATATCCGATATTTATACCGATCTTATATATTATAGGATATTTGTTGACGTTTCCTATTCCTATACAATATATTTTAAAATAACAAATAAATAATTATATGATTTTAAGGTTGATGAATGTTTTTATGTTATCAACTCAAATGGTTTTCCACTGGTCCCTATATAAATTATGATTTGTGACAGCAGAAATTGTGAATTTAAAATTATCCTATTCAAATAAATATATATTGCAATATATGTATTAAAAAATTAAATATTATCTATAATTCAGCCATAATGGTGTTACAAACTATAATGCTAGTAAATTAATATTTGTTTATATTTGTTATATATAGAATATTTTATTGATTATATGCCTATTTTCGCAAATTTCTGTTAGATTCGCTGAAATTTATCTCATACATATTTTATAATTAATTCCTTCTTTATTCCTCCATCGAAATATTGTAGTAATAACATTCGATATATCATTCTTATTCCACAATCTATATATATTATTAACAGTTTTCGAATAGAAAGAGATCGCGCTTGAAAATTATATTTTCGACCACCAAATATAGTTGTACTTGTATTTTTATTAATAATCTTTTTAGTCGTTTACAATATCTAGTTAGGAGTTTGGATATAATTGTTCATATCTATCTATAAAAATATATATTAAATTTGATATGGGTTCTCTAAAATTTTCTTAAGCGTCTAGAGAGGTATCAGAAAATTTTAAGGATTGATATGGCACTACTTTATTGAATCAGGGTAACTATCAGAATTCCTGTATAATTATATTGATATTAATGAGATCTAAATATAATTAAAATTTATGATAGAAATATTTATATGTATAATTTTTTCGAATAAAATAAAACTATGTAAAAGCAACAATTTGAATTAGAATAAAACATTTCAGAGAATGTTTTTAATATCATTCAATACCACCTCAGAATAATTGATGTTGGAGAAAAAATGTGTTAAAATAAAATAATAAAAACCGATAAAAATTATAAAAATATAATACTTATACCCATTTAGGCAGTAGTGGAAATTATCTTTTGTGACTATTTTATAGCGATTCATTGATGTATTTTGAGCACTTAATATATATAAGGTTCTAAAACATTTTATTACTCAAATATGATTGATGATCTTCGGAAAAAATTGATAGGCTAAGTGCAAAAGTATAATATGAATTTTTTAATTACTTGTGACTTTTTATAAGGGTTTTAACCAAACTGATTACGGAATTTAAATTTTAATAATTAAGCACTAAATAATGGTGAAAATAAGATGTTTGTTGATGATATATTTTTTGTTTATTTTGTTAATAACCTTTTTATTTTAAATTTTGCTAACATAATAACGAAGCACTAAGGATTGATATAAGTTTCATCGTTAATGCTTCCAATCGTTCGGTCAACTTCAAGCCTAAATCGCAGCGTCAACTTTTGTTTGGCTAATAACTTTTTTTTATAAAGCGTTTAACCAAATTACTTGCAAAATTTTAACTAATTAAGCACTACACATTGGCTACAAAAGTGATTAAACCTTCACGAACGAAGCAATTAAGAATAATATTATATATCATCGTCAGTGCTTTCAATCGACTTTTAAGCGTAAAGTTGGCACAAAATTTTATTTATAGCTTTTTTTCCCTTAAATTCGGCTACTATACGGATTAATGCACTAACGAAGCACTAAAAAATGACATATAATTCATCGTTAGTGCTTTCAATCGTTCGGTCAACTTCAAGGAGCTCCCAAATCGGGGTTTTTAACAACACTACTCTGCAGCCTTCTAATTTATAAACTATTCGGAATAAATATAAACGCTCAAAATTAAAAGAATTTTTACTGTTATTATATTAGCAAAATATAATTATTTTTAATTAAAAAAAACCTAGGAGTTTTCGGATGAAAGGTTTGACTTTGAAGGGCTCAAAGTCTGTTATGTGTTCACCGGTTCCTATAAATATAATCGGGCTCTTGGTAGCGGCAACTCTGCAATAAAAAAAATAAAAGGGTAATACATCATAGTTGTATTATTGACAAAGTATCACTCACTATCTTGTATTTAATATTCTGATAGAGTAAATAAAACAATCGCTAAAAAAAGTCGTATAATTTAGTTAAAACTGAGACCACATCTGACATGTAAAATTATCGGTCCACTTCCTTATAAAGAGAAAAGAAAAATAAGAAATTTATGTTTTTAAATAAAGTAAATGACAAAAAAAGTAGTTATATAAAAATCAAATGTGTTTTTTTGGATGCAATGTATAAGGTAGAAAAAAAAGAGAGACATATAAAATCTTTTTTGTTAAAATCTGTTTAAATTTAACAATCTGCGCAAATTTTATATATCTAGGACAAGATCTTTCTTATTAAATTATCGCGTGATAGAATGGAAGTAAAATGAAGTTTAAAGAAGTGATTTAAATTAAAATATACGCGCTTAAAGCTCCCCCGCCTTTGGCATGTCCGTCCAGTTTAGTAATGATAACCGATGCCACGTCGACTTTAGCTTTGAATGCTTTAGCCTGGCTCTCGCAGGCTTGCCCTATGCTCGCATCCATGACAAATATTATGTTGTCGGGTCTCTGGAATTAGGAAATGTGGGAAGGGGGGAGGGGAAGGATTGTATTATTAAATTAAAATTTTTTTTACCTTAAACAATGATATTAAACTCCCTAAAATGTTATAGATCGACATATTTGCATATCAAAGATCATTTTATAAGTATGAGGTATAGTATAAAACAATAGAATATATCAATAGTCAAGCGTTATGAATGCATAATGTTACAAGATAAAAGAGTGTCGCGAAAATGGAGAGTTTGGAGATTAAAAATTTTTTATTTACAATTAATTTCTATTTAGTTGCATATTAATCCCGAATATTTTTCCACATTTTTTTTAAAGTGAATAGGTCTACCTGTATACTTATCCCACACATTAATGCTCGATAGTGTTGTTAAACGGCTCGATTTTTAAAAATGGCTAACCCAATATTTTAGCCAAAAATATTACGTAATCCTAAAGATTTTGCTCGTAGATGGCTTAAAAGGTTTGAAAAAAAAACGAAATCTCGAGGCTTGCATAATATTATTTTAGCTTAGATTTTAATTTAAAATTGGCTATATCGAGCTGTTTAACAACAACATTATTGAGATATATGCAATTAAAAATTGGAGAAAAAACAACTTTCTTAAACTTAACATTTAAATATTTTATCATTTAAAACTAGATGAAATAGATCTTGAATATAAAAAAAAACTTACGACGGTATTTTGTAATTGCAACATTTCTTCGAAAAGTGAATCTTCCTGTTTGTGCCTTCCGCTCGTATCAACGATGATTATTTCGAAATTTTCGGCCTCAAATTTATCTACACCCTCCTTGGCAATGACGACAGGGTCGATCTCCGTATAACTTTAATTATAAATTAAAAAAATTTTTTTGGTTAGGATGTCAATCTTTTACGAATTTAATTTTAGTCTGTGAAGGCAAATATGAACCGGTTCAGAAGCGCCCACAATACTAATGGAATCTATTCTTTTTTTCGTCGGGGATATTTTTCTGGATTATGGAACTGACCTGTCCGATTTACCTCAACTAATCTTAGCATTTTATGAGAGTCGATGTAAACGCGCAAAATAAATAATTCGCTATTCATTCGATTTGTATTTTATTAATAATATTGAATAACACGATAATTCGATTTGCCAATAAGAATAATTGTGAAAGATTATTGGCCGAATAAATAGCCTAGTACATTATTAGATAGAATTATTCATATTCTGTGAATATTTCGAAATTATCATGTAAAAAATTTTAATACATGTTCCTACCTAACAAGATCGTGGTTCTATCAGATGCCCCCAAATTAGACGGGCAAAACCCTGGAACCCATTTCAAAAGACAGAAAAGAATCACTAAAAGACCGAACCAAAAGAAGTAAAAATAAATTCATTTAAAAATAATAGTTTTAAAAAGAAAACTTGAAAAAAAATATACTGATTAATTTTAGCTTTGCGTTATTAATTTTTTTATCTCTTCTTAATTTAAATATTAAAATTGTGAACATGATATTAATTTGAAAAATAATTAGGGTCATATTTTATATTATGCTTTTTTAATAGTGCGCACAAATTGAGCATTTACGATTTACAGTAATTTTTTAATAAAAAAAACGTAACCCATCCCTTGTTTAAAGTGAGGTTGCGTTTTTATTAATATCACCGATTCAAAATTTTAAATAAGTTCTAAAAAAAGAGGATTTGTTTTTAAAAATTATATTATCGTCTGCCTTCTTATTTCTTTAATTTCTAAATATTCCTTTATAGGATATAAGTTAGTTATTTATATTACATTTTATATAATATTACAAAGCGAAGAATAAAAAAATGTAATAAAAAAGCAAAACTATTTGCGTTTTTTTGAAACGGTTTCTAACGCCAAGCGGTAATTTTGCTCAATTTGTGTGCACTATTAGCCGTTTTTTAAAATCTGCTCAAATCGATCCTTTTAACAACACTACATTTAATAATACTTCTTTATATTTTTTTAGTTTTTGAATTAAATTTTTCAGGGTTCTGGACCCGAATTCGGGTTCAGAAATTTAAAATTGCTTGGCTGGGCATTTTAAGACCACAAATTAAACAGAGATCGATTTATGGAAAACCCATCGAACCCAGGGTAACATGAACCTGGGGCGGGTTCGACCTCTTTTAGAAAATCGGTTCTCAATTAAGTTCCTGTTATCAAAAATTCCCCTAAATAAGAGTTTAAAATTCCAGAACGCTGCAATTTTTTAAAAGAATTCGATAAGTCGAACAATCATTTTAATGGTAGATTAAATGCCAATATATAAGCCTAGAGCTCGGACCAGACCAAAAAAATTTTATTTATTTTTTTTCAAAAACAAAAAGGCAAAACATGCTTTAAAAAAAATAGGCACCTATCGAATTTCAAAAAATTTTCGTTTTTTGTTTGAATTTAAAAATATTTGGTTTTCGTTAATTTTAAAAAATAAGTTTTTTTCATTTTAAAATTAAGTTTTTGATTTTTGTGAGTTTTGTCTAGTTGTATGTTAATAAAAAATTTCTTTTGGTCTGATTTCTACATAAACCTATATAAATATAAACCCAAAATATAAAGAGGTTAAAAATATATGTAATAAGATTATAATATCAATATTAAAATAAATTTGTATTTAATTTTATCTAATACATATAGTTTCGTAAGATTTATAATATTTTAACCGATTCTTCCTCTAAGAATCTATCAAAATTATAAAATATTTTCTGACAGGAATAGTTTATACTAATGGTATTTTTAAAAAACATGCTAACATTTTATTATATATTAAAAAAGAATAACCTGCCATAAAAAGGAATTCGTGCTTTGACAGCATTCTGTTTTAGTTGATCAAAGGCACCAGCTCGAAAAGTATCGGCACATATCAAGCATGTTTTCCAATTTTTCTTTTGATAGTAATAAGCCATCTGATGAAATTGGAAATAAAATATTTGATATTTTTTTAAGTGTATATTATAAAAAAATATATTTTTTAGGGATATGATGTTATTTAACATATATTTTAATCTTATGAGTAAAATAAAAGTATAAATATAATGGAATAATTTCTACAATTCTTAATAATCAATATTCAGTAAATATATTTGTTTCAACTTGTATTTAATTAGAGGATCATTATAAACCCATTTTTTGGAAAAATATTAAGTATGTTTTAGTCAAACTTCGAACTAGTGCTCCAATTTTATGAATCAAATATTTCATTTGTTCATTTAAATATTATCCAACAAATATAAATACAGATTATTTGAATAAATTATTTACATTCATATATCCTTCATTATTCTATCATTAACATTAATTTAAATAAATAATTAGGATGCAATCCGGACCCTAGTAATTTTGCTAGATCCAAACCGGGCCTTTTTAAAAGAGGAGGATTCAAGGGTTCTAGATGTCAAAAAAAAATATATAATTATAATTTTTTCTTTAAATCTATGGAAAATAAATTAAAATTATTATTTTTTGTGTTTTTCTCTTCATTATTTTTCAAAAATTTTCTAGTATTTTATATTCTTATTTTATAGATAGCAAAATCCTGGATGTGGATTTCGCATTGGACGGATTTTTAGCCAGCCCATACTTGGAATGGGCATGGTCAGGTTTTATAAAATATTTACAACATTAGGTGGGTGGAGGGTGGGTTATTAAAACAATGAGTGGCGGGCTTACTTATTGGCTAAAAATCAGCCCATTGTGGACCTCTAATGTGGATAACTGTTTTAGTGTAGGTAAAAATATTTATTATACTACTAGAAAAAACATAATACACTTGAACAAAAATATTTTTGTTATAAAAATAAAAACTAACATACATTCAGAAATTATTACAAAGATAATATACCCAAGTTATATTATAGATTCTATATGTTATGTAATTTAAAAAAAATTAATTATTTTATGTTTCACAAAAAACAAATTAATAACATTAATAATTTCTATATTATTGAAATCTTTCTTTTTTACTATTAAAATAGTAAAATTGTAGTATAATTATAGTTAATATTTATAATAATACATATTATCTTTAAATTGTTTATTTTATTATATTAGAATGTTATATTTATATAATACAATTATTATATTTTGAAGCTATTGAAATAGACTCATTTCTATACTACATTATTGTTATCATTACTCATAGTCAAATAAACATTAATATATCTTATATACTTGAATTTAATAAACAAAAATTCTTGTATGCCAAATCTCTATCTAATTCCATCAAAAATTAAATAATTCATATAGGAATAATAACAATCAAATAATAATTTGTATTTATTCAATTCCAAAATATTAAATCAATATTCAAATATTTGTTGGAACTTAGAAGTATTAGCATTACGTTAGGCTAAGTCCAAAACATCAAAAAAAATGAAAACTTTACCTAAAAATATAAAATAAGCCTTTTTTAAAGGGAAAAATAAAAATATGAACAAAACATATTTATGAAATTTTCAAAACTTTATCATTAGCATTTAAGAACTTTTAAAAGTTTTGAAGCAGATAACTTTTGAAACTATATAAAACTCTGATAATATAAAAAAATTTAATAAAAGAATGAACTTAATAGCCAGTATATTTAAAAAAAGTAAAACATACTTAATAAAAAACTATATTTAATAAAATAATTCATAACTTTTGTAACAGTTGTTGTTTTACCACTTCCTTGCAAGCCAACAAACATTATAATGTTGCTCTTACCTTTAATAGGTTGCCATATTTTGACACCAGGATCTATTAACTATTTTTAAAAATTAATATTTAATCAAAATTTTAATATATTGAAACATATTTTTAAAATTACTTTGACTAGTTCTTGAAAAACTACAGTTTGTATCATGCGTCGCTTGTTGATACCTGCAGCCATTTCATCAAAATCAATGGCAGCTCTGACATTTTCTCTTAATGTTTTAACCAATTTAACATTAACATCCGATTCTAGTAATGCAGTACATATTTCTTTTAATAAACTATTTAATACCTATCAAAAAAATATAAAAAAATTAATTTAGTAATCATAACATCTTCATTAATGATGGTGGCAGTTCCTAAATTTCTTAAGGCATTTGTTATTTTTCTGCCTAAATCTGCAAGTACCATATTTACTTTCTAAAAACTATATTTATGTGGAAATTAACTTTAATTATGCTTTTTAGTATAAAATGTTATAAAAGATATTAAAGAAATGCATATGATTATAAAAAATAACCGAACTCAAAATAGATTAAGTCATATAAAATTTAATTGTAGATATTCTTTAGGACAAATGGTCGGATAACAGTATTAGTGATATTACATTACAACTGGTACCTAATAAATTACATCCTTTTTCAATTATAAACATTACCTAAGAGCATATCAGTGTTTAGAATCATATTGACGGTTCAATTATTTTTTTATCAAAAAATATTCGATACTACTGGTTTCTTTAAGTTGACTAATTTTTACATTCATTAGAGGGGATATGAACCATTTAACCCCATATATCTTTGAAAAAAATATAGGATCCAAGGGGGGTAAGAAGCAAAATATATAGGCCGCGATAGGCCACGGGCCTGTTCTAGATGGAAATTTATTTTCCAACTAGCTGCGGAAAAAGTTGGATGCAAAATAATTTGAATTACTGTAGCAATTAAAGAACACAACCATTGTATAAAACATAATTACATTACTAAATCATATTAAATAACATAATAAGATATTTGGATTTGTTCTTCCGAATCTCTCAATTTCATGTTAGTCATTGCACACCCGTTTTTAATCGGCATGTAAAGCCTTATTTGGGCTTATATGGTAATATAATTGAATTCAATATTAAACTTTTGAGCTAAAATGAAATATAATTTGGTAATCTAATTATAGAAAGTGTTGGATTACTTTTCTATTTGGTAAGTATAGTGTAATGTAGCTAAACGACCCAATCAATTTTTAAAAACGGCCTAATAAAGATTTTTAGCCATAATAATGTTATGCAAGCCTCGAAAATTGGCAAATAAAGATTCAAACCTTTCTGCCACCTATGAGCAAAATCTTCAGGAGTATATAATATTATTTTGGCTAAAATCTTAATCAAGTCAAGACATTTAGAAACAGTGGCGTAGCTACGGGGGTGGTTTTCGGGTTTGGACCCCTCCCAGAGCAAATTTTTTTTTAGATTATGCTTTCAAAAGACTTAAAAGTGACTTTATATTAAATAAATACCATGAATATTTATATTTTTCTATTTTTGATGTTTGGGGAAGGATATTATATTACTATTGAAATTATTCTGGATAGTATTATTATAAAGTCATTGAGAATAATCTACTAAATTATACTAATATATTATTGATGAATTTAAAAAATATGTATATAATGTCGAATATATTGTTATGATTTTTAAGATAAACCCGGCCGAAGGCCGGGCAAAAGGGCCGAAGGCCCGTTAAAGAGGGTCTGGGGGGCAAAGCCCCCCAGTCTTTTATATGTATGGACCCCCTCTAAGTAAAATTCCTAGCTACGCCACTGTTTAGAAATATCGAACCAAATAGGGATCTTAAACAAAATTAGCATAGTTTATGCTTCTAGGTTTTTACCGATGTTTGTTAATCAATTCGGATATAATTATGGGTACTAAAGATTTTTAATTTTGGGAAATCGTCTTCTAAGAATTAGGTTATTCCTTCTTCACATTTTATAATTTTGTAAGAGAGCAATTTTAAAAATTCATTATACATATGTCTTTTCAATACGAAAGGTCCTTTCTTAAAACAAATTTTATTTCAGGGATAGTATATTTATAGTTTTTCAGCACTTTAATTTAAAATATTATGATATTTTTCGCAAAAAGTCAGAATTTTATTTTTTTCAAAACATGAGAAATCTTTAAAAAGTTACAAAATCAATAATAATAACAATATGAACAAACCGTATTGGACAATATTTTTGCAGAAAGTAATCATACGAAAGGTCCTTTCTTAAAAACAAATTTTATTTCAGGGATATGTAATGTATATTTAAATAGTTTTTCAGCACTTTATTTAAAATATTATATGATATTTTTCTCAAAAAGTCAGAATTTTATTTTTTTCAAAATATGATTAAATAAATTATGAATTTATTTTATTACCTTTGAAAATTTAAAAAATCAATAATAATAACAATATTTTTGCAGAAAGTAATCCAAACTTACCTAAATCGAACCTTAAAACTGGTTAACCATTTTTTTTTCGAACCTGAACCGTGATAATTGAATCCGAACCGTTAGAAATTTTTATGTCCGGTTTCAAGCTCATGATTTTATGTTTATAAAATATGAAATTGAACAAATATATTGCGAAAACTCCCAACTATTCGAAAAAGAATGATATTTCTCTCATAAAATAGTATTCATTCATAGTCAGCACTCAGCATCACTATGATGATTTTTATAAAATACATTATTGTTTAACTCTTTTTAAGTTATATGTTTTATTGATCACAATGATTATCTATTAATAATAATTTTTATTTCAGTAAGTAACTATAAATAGCTATTTTCAAGCATTTATTGGTACATTAATATATTTATGTTTAACTAAGAACTTTTATAATGAGAATTCGCAGTAATCAATTTCTTAATTAAATTAGCTTTCTCAGAAAAATTTTATTATTTTTGGTTAACGCTTTATTTATTCCTAATACAGTTTAGTTTAAATATTGAATTCCTTTTAAGGTATGCATGAGTCTGACCATAGTGTAATTTTATCAACAATTGAATTATCTGAAGCAAGGGTTAGAAATATCTTGAACAATGGAGAATCGAAATCATTACTAGATTGGTCAGAATCTATAAATAACATTGTACAATGGACCTGTTTATTTGTAATGTAATGCAATGTGTTTCACTTTTATAAAAAAAATACCTGATTTAAAAAGTTGGGATAGATTTTTTCATGATGAAAATAAAATTTTCAATTTTGTGGTCTTTCAATTTTTTCCTCAAAATTTTGGGCAAATATAATTTTTCATTTGTTTTTAATTTTCCAGATATATCATCATATCTAACAGATAAATGAGTTCTCCATGAGTTTTTTTGGGGTTGTTCGAGAAGGTTATATAAGTGATGAGGAATCGGGTTTACTTTATTTCTGAGAGGGAGGAAAACATGATAATGATTTTGAGAAAAATTTGTGGAAAAAAACAATAAGCAATGTCTATGTAATGGAAATGAAATAGGTTAAGACGAGTTGCGTTTAATGAAAGGTGGGGGGGGGGCATTTGCGTGAAGAGAAGCTTTAAGTTAAAGGTGATTTGAATAAGAGCTTGGAAGAGATGTAAAAACTTGGATAACAATTTTCAGGATCTTAGAAAAGGAAGCTTTACACAGAACAACTAACCTATGTGAAAGAAAAATATTCAATTTTTACCATGATTTTCTGTAATTGTATAATCTATACACAAATATTATCTTCAAAGTTATAAATAAAAATAAACAAAAGAAGATGGTCGGACAGAAATTAATGAAGGTTCCTATTTAGAGGTCGAAGGGATAACTCATATATCTTGATCTCTAAATATATTTCAAAATAATTGTATACATATTTAGTTCGAATTGATGTAGGAAGTTAGCATGATTGGAATAAAGTGATGAGATTGACAAGACTAAAATATTTTAAAATTTATTATTGTCAACTATTAAAGGATATCTGAAAATTCTCAATCATTATTTGATTGCAATTATCTAAATAAATAACAATTTATTTTGTTTTAAAAAAAAATTAATGTATTTTGCTATTCTATCATTTCCTATTCAATTCATCCATTCAAATATTAAAATAAAAACCATTTTAAAACATAGTCATCACATTAATATTTAATGCTTTATTTTTCATAATAAACAGTCATATTTTTCAAAAAATAAAAGGTTTTAAAATGCATAGAGTCTTCAAGTAAAATTTGGATCCTTAATTGGTTGATTAAATTTGTTCAAATAAAATTTTAAAGAATCATAATTCCAAAATCAATATTCAGCTCATAATATATAAATTTGTCTTGTCTCTCATCTGACCATTAATGTTATTAATGCAATTAAGGTTTGTATATTTTTTGTTCTTTACTATTTATGCTATTCATATGATATTGATAGATTATGAAATAAGAAAAATTCATAATATTTTAAAAATAACCGATGCGTGTGACAAACCGCTTATTTATTTTATTATACAATTTATCATAAATAAGTCTTTGAAAATTTTTCATTGTCGGCATAATTATTCACAAAAAAGAGGACATAATATATTATTTATGAATTTGAATAGCTAAATAAATACAAAGATTGTATTCATGAGTTGATTTTAAATTTAAATATTAAACTTGTATCTATAAATTATATAAATATTCATTTTGATTTTAAAACATTTAATTCCACGCGTTTATTAGAAAACCGTGATCCACAGAAATTGAGATTTAAGTACCATGTGGGTTTTAACAAAAAAATATTCCCCAATTTCGAGCCCGGCTAGAATCATTAAAAAATATTTATTTAGCTTCCCCTCCCCTCCCCAGATTTCCACAATTATAATATTTTACCCCACCCGAAGCTGAAAAAAATTTAAATTTCGTCAATTTAAATAATTTTGGCTCCCATATAGTTATACATAATTCAATGTTTGCGTTTGGTTACGCCAACCGCAAACAATGCATTTCAAATGGTATAGTGCAAATTGATCGCAATTTATAAACATCAATAAAAAAACGCAAACTGGTTTGATTTTTTTTTGAACGCTCAATGGTCGCACTATGGGAATTTATTTCAAATTATCAATATGAGCAGCTAATGAATTTTAATCAACTCCATTAATTGATGGTTAAAGTGGGATAATGATAAAAATAACAAATCAAAAAATTCGAGTGTTTAAAAATAAGTATAATTGGGAAAAAATTGGAAATTTGGAAGTTTGGAAGTGTGTTTGTTTTACATTTAAAATTATTTTGTTAAGTTTCATATTTTAATTCTCAAAACATCTCCATACTTATCATTAATTTAAACATATATGTTAATTTCTTTATATTATGATATGAATACTAAAATTTCTTATTTTATTTTTAATAGATAGGTATAAATTTTTATTGATATATATGATATAATAATATTAACGTAAATTATCTTCTATATAAAATTATATATGGCCATAAAATGCTTGATTTTCCAAA